TGTTTGACAGAAAATCAGCTTCGAAAGTGAGACGCCGATGGGCGTCTCTGGCACTTGAATAAAAATTGTCAGGCCGCCCATGGCCGCCAAAGGCACTGAATGGGTTTACCACAAATTATATCCATTACAGTCGTCAAAAGTTCAGAACTAAACATAGGAATCCCCCCTCAATATGCTATATGATTTTGCCGTACTTGCCAAACTTGTACTGTACTGTACTTGTACTGGGCTGATAACCGCACTTTTTTTATTATTTTGAGTTGTTATTAGCAAAATGCTGTTCTCTTGTTTCAGTTACCGTCTGTCGCCATTTACCACACCCACGGGACGATATGGGGTAGTCACAAACAAATAATGGGGGTAACGCATATTCTTCAAATTAATTGCGACGTCTTCCAGCCTTCTAGCGCCTTCAAGGCTGGAAGTGTGCCGCAATATTGTCCGATTAGAGTAACTTTACTAAATAATTTTGCATTCTCTGTAATTGTGCATTGTGGTTGAAATTCGCTTGAGACCTTTTTCGCGTGTGACGTTTGAGAGGACCGGTCCTCCGTCCCTGTCTCTGCTCTGTCGGAAGTTTTCGACGGTCTTCGACACAGACATCGCGCGAAGTAGAAGCGACGAGTGTGCATACTTTTCATTCACACCTTCATTGTTTGCTTCACACTCCTCGCTTGGATTTGCTACCTACCTCCTTTCTCGCAACACCTGATAATATAAGCGTACAAAGGAGTCCAACCAAAACCAACTCACAGCCGGATTTATCGAAGATAAGCGATGGTAACTTCTTAAATATAACTGCAAGAAAGAGGAAAACGCCCGACTGTCACTGCAACGAACAGCAGCTCATGTATGATTTTTGTAATAGAATGATGACCACGCTCACAGCAAAGCTGGATTCTCAAAACAATACCATAAAGGGTGTTTTGAATAGCATTCGCGAGGACATCAATTCATTTAAGAAAGAGATTAGTGATGTAAACTCTTCAATAAAAAATTGGCTGACGAACAAGCTATTGTGATAAAAGATGTTTGCGAGTTGAGTTCCACAACAGGTTTAATTACCCAGCGTGTTGATCTAGTTTCAAGCGAGATTTCCGAGCTGCGATGCATAACAACTAATCTTACTGACCAGCTGAAAGCGAAGGAGCAGCTTGGGAGGATTAATAACTTGGAAATTTCTGGGATACCACTCTTAAAAGGTGAAAATTTAAATAATATTATACATAATATCGCTACAAAGGTCGGTTTTACGTTATTGCCAACAGATATTGATTACATACACCGTGTCCGACGTTTCAACTCGACGAGGAACGAAATCCCTACCAAACACGATAGCAGTACATCTCTAGACTCATCTTCCATACCGAACATCATCATTAGATTCTCACAAAGATATTCGCAAGAACGAATTGCTGACTGCAGTACGCGCGCGACGAGGATTAACAACTGCTGACGCGGGTCTAAGCGGGCCTACCAGTCCCATCTACGTCAATGAGCACCTCGCGCCACACAACAAACAATTATACAAACAAACCCGCCTTCTTGCCAAACAGAAAGAATACAAATACGTGTGGTTGTCTGACTGTAAGATTTTATTGCGTAAAAATGATACTTCTAAAGTTCAACTTATATCATGTTATGCGGATCTTAGTAAAATTAAATGACTGTATGTCGTTATCTATTTTAATGTCTTGAAAGAATTGGATTTTTTTTTTGTTATAAATACTTACATATTAAGACAACATTACCTATTAAAAAGTGTTGTAAAATATATTTCTCACGAAACTACATACAACTATACTGTTATTGCTGTCTTCAATTATTTGTGAATGTTAGTGGAACCCATAATATTTCATTCTGTGATATTACTTTGCCGTATATTGTATACAGTGGTTTATAACAATAACTTGTATCTACTACCAAAACGTGAGGGGCTTACGCACAAAATCGCACGATTTTCTGAAGAATGTTCTGTGTAACAATTATAATGTGGTATGCGTCACTGAATCACGGCTTAATAGTAATTTTTATGACAGTGAATACTTCGACAGTCGATACGAGGTTTACCGATGTGATCGCAACGTTACGGTTAGCGGTCGCGGGATGGGTGGCGGCGTACTGATCGCAGTGCGGCGCAGCCTATGCCCGTCGCAGCTCCATCATGAGTGCTCACCGACGCAGGCAGAAGAGGTTTGGTTATCTATCCCATAAATTGAAACATTGTCGCGTGCGGGCTGCGTGACGTCACCGCACGAGTCTAATACTCGATCGCCGGCTCACCGTCGCTTACATATTATAGCAACTTATATACCCCACGGTTGCAACCACGAATCACAATTGACATCGTTCTATATCAGAGTAAGCGATTTTATAATCTCAAATCCCGACGATACTTATCTAATACTGGGCGACTTTAACGTCACTTATGATGACTGGTATTTTAATTCTTCTAGTGATTGCATGGAAATACGTACAAACATTAATAGTCTCGCATGTCTTACTACCGATTTTATGAATATGTCGTCACTATTACAATACAACAATCAATTTAATATTAATAATAGATTATTAGATTTTATTTTTAGTAATACAACATGTAATGTTACGCGACCTGAATTTCCGTTAGTACCCGAGTACGTGCACCACAAATTCCTAGAAATTAGTTTGAATTTAAAATCCCCCGCCCCATTACCCCCCCCCCCCCCCCAAATTAAGAAATAAAACTTTCATAAAGCTGACTTTGGCTCGATCAAAACTAGACTTAACACTGTTAACTGGGAGGAAGTTTTTAATATTATGACGGATATTAATTCAATGACGAGTTATTTTTTATAAATTTTTAAACAATTTGATAGACACATACGTATCTACTCAAAATCTTTGTAGCGCAAATAAACTGTGTTTACTTCTTGTCTCATAAAACTAGAAAAGGAAAAAGCTTAAATATCATAAGAAATGGAAACTTTATAACATCTTACGAGACTACCAGACCTCTTGTCTTCGGAAGAGGTTTAAGAGGATGGAGGCAGAATGTTATAAAAAATTCATTGAACTTTCTGAGGATAATATCAAAGCCTGTCCAAAGTTATTTTGGTCTTTCGTAAAGTCAAAAAAGCTTCTAATTGCATTCCCGAAAAAATGATATATAAAGCTAAAATTATTTCCACTGGCCGTGAAATATGCGAGGCTTTTAATGATTATTTTCATTCAGTTTTCATCCCTTCTACCCGTCAAAGTTCTGATCATACAATTTCTTACTCAGGCAGTTCAGCCGTAGATATACATTCTATTAACATCTACCACGATAATGTTATCAAAGAACTGAAACAAGTAAATATTCATAAAGGTGCAGGGCCCGACGGGATCCATCCTCTTCTCATATCCGAATGTGCTGAAGAACTTGCAACACCCATTACAATCATATTTCGTTTCTCTGTCCAAACTGGGACATTTCCCAGTTAATGGAAAGAGTCTTTAGTAACCCCTATTCCAAAAAATAAGAGAAGTGAATGTATAGACGAATACAGACCTATATCGAAACTTTGTATCTCGGGCAAAATCCTAGAAAAGATAGTAACCACTCAAATGTCGTACTCGTTTCGTAATCACATTTCCCAGGAACAACACGGTTTCTTTAAGTGTCGTAGCGTTGACACCAATATGTTAACTTTTAATGACTTTCTGTTGCATGCCATGGATGATAACCTACAGGTGGATGCCGTGTACACCGACTTTTCCAAAGCTTTCGATAAAATAAATCACGATCTGCTAATAAAGAAGCTTGCAAGGGCCGGTGTGCATGGCAGCCTCCTTAGATGGATCCAATCCTACATAAGTAATAGGAGTCAAGCAGTCTTTGTAAAAGGTTATTCGTCACAATTTCTTCCAGTACCTTCGGGTGTGCCTCAAGGGTCTCATATTGGGCCTTTACTGTTTTCAGTCTATATAAATGACATTGGCAATGTCCTGAAACATAGGCACCATCTCTTGTATGCTGATGACACTAAGTTGTATCGAATCATCAGATCAATTACTGACTGCCACAAACTCCAAGAAGACTGACACCGATTACATGGATACTGTGAGTTTAACCATCTGTTCCTAAACAGCGATAAATGCTACATAATATCATATACTCGCAAAAAAAATCCCCTTACTTACGACTACATAAATCAGAAGGCCTTGAATAGAGTAACCACAATCAGGGACTTAGGCATAATCATGGATTCGGCCTTATCATTTATTCCACATTGGCACATATCCACGCACAATACAATATTTCACCATTTTTTAATATTTCTTTTTGTCAAAAATTAAAAAAATAGGGAGCATTTATCTTCTCAGCAATGCCGCGAAGAAAATTTGAACATTATTCAACTAACTTCATCTACTTGTACTCATAAACAGCTAATTTTGCAGATACTACTTAGCGACAGCAGGGCTTCAGAGACATGCGGGCTATGCTTTAGTACGTAGCGATCGTTCTCCTTCTCTCTAACCTCCATGTTACATTCACTAGCTTTTATTGACGAGTGCTGCTATCTTCACGTTGAGGTCGGAAACTTTTCAGACCACCCTGGTATACTTATAACGGAAACGATGAAACAAATGCTCTGATAGTGATATGAACCTCAAAATAATGTATGTTCTTAGGCGCCTTGAGATACAATTATTATTATACTATTGTTATTAATGCTTAATGAGATGCATCAACATATTGTCAAGAAGTTTTGTAACGAATTATTTTAAAGGGTAATTTCTTAATATTTATTATACTTGACGTTGGCAAAAGTATGATAGGACGAGTCTATTACCTAGAATAAAAACAGTGATTGTCAGTGTCACTGTCATTTCTGATCTTTGATATTGTGACTTTCATGTCAGACACAGATAATTTTTTTTGTGTTGTGCTATGGTGTTGTGATCTCTGATGATCATAGTTTAATGCGAAGTTTGTGATATGAAAAAGCATTTAAAGCAGTATTTAATTTGACGAAATGGATGAAAAATATGAAACTGTTAAATTATGCTACACAATACATAAGTTTTCAAGTTACTCAGCTAATTACATACCAGAGTGCGTAATAAAGTTTTTATTAATGTTTGTTATAAAAATTTCCCGGTGTATAAATTCTTTATTTTTAGCGATAGAACTCTTTTACTTAACAGTTACAATTAGAAAACAAATTCTTAACTTGCTCATAGTATAAAATATGATAACTAATTTCTTTTTTGAGCTATATATATTTATTCTTTTAGAAATATCATGGTGAACAATCCTTCCGATCAACTGTCGAGATGGTTTACAGACAGCTCGAACACAGCTAGTACGCTGCTACCCCAATATGTTATGCTCAAACTTAAGTCACTGTCTATTGTAGAAACAATAAAATTTGGCAAATATATTAAGCCCCATGTCAGTGATCTCAAGAAATTTCAAATATTTGGTGGTACTGATGAAAATAATCTTTCCCTACTTTTATCGGCGTGAGTATAATATTATAGCCATTGGCACATTTTATATTAAAATAACATATTTTATTACAATATGTAATATAGTAGTTACATTATAACTTTGGTGAACTTTTCATCAAGTATCATGGATGTTTACCAAATTGCCTGTAATATGTTATTCTGTTGGCACAATATAAAAAAATGGGTAAGGTTTACAATTCGGTTGCCTGAATTAGGGTGTGGTGTGGGGAGAGGGGAGGAGTTGTAGAGTCATCCCCTACTTCCCCTTCCTGCTGGATGTGCTTAGTTTTTTTTTTAAATAAATTTTTAAAAATGTCATTCAGTGGTTATGTTTCGTAATTTTTATGACAATTTTAACCTGATTTATGGGGAGAGAGAGTTGCGGGACGGAAGCCCCACGCCACGTAACGTGGTGCAGTCGAGGGAAGCCCGGACAAAGGAGCCCCGTTTCACGGGGCTCCTACTTCTGAGTGAACAAAAAAATAACCACAAAGAGGATCCCCTTCTAACCTAACCTGTCAGGGTGCCCAGGCTCACTTCGCTCGCTATTGCACTCAATATAACCAAAATAATAACTATTATAACTACTTTAATTTATAAATATAATTTATGGCTGCTACCATTTGTAAGAAAGGATCTTTGAGATGTTTAGCAGTATTCCGCTGCCACAAATATTCCACTATTCACCAAAATTCTGAAACTCGGAAGCAACGGCGTGACAAAAAGCTGTCAACAAAATGGCCGACCTAGCGATTAATTTTATACATTTTAAATTGATTCAAATCGAAATTGGATGAATCGATTCACAAAAAATCGAAATGTTATAGATCGGTTTTGCAAAAATCGATCTTTTTTTGATTTGTGTTAAAAGGTTATATTTACAATATCAAAAGATACAATAAATTACATTAAACATTGAATGATTGAATTAAAAACTGTCATTCTTTATGAATTGGGGTACATTCAACTTATTGTAAATGATTTGTGAAATTATTTGATTAAGATTTGTAAAATAATTGTGCACTAAAATACTGCAGCCTCAATTATGAAATAAAATATATAGATATGTATGTATAATTTGTTTAGAATGTGTATTTGGTAATTTGTATTTGGTAATTATGAAATAAAATAATAAGTTTAATTTCATTTAAAATATTTGGTAATTGTCATTTGACATAAGCCACTTTTTCTCTTTATTGCTGCTATATCACGAATTTGTTTGAGCTGTAGTAAACTCACAGTATCACTGTTTGTTTTTCAAACCACTTGAGAGCCGTTTCCAGGGCCTGAAGTGCTTCATCATGAGATGGTCCTGCATCATTTTCCATGTCTATATTTTCTTCTGTTTCATCTTCTTGCATTTCCTGCTGTTCATTTATCTGCAATATGTTTTCTACGATTTCATCATCTGACATAATCTGTAAGTCTTAATCATTACTGTCACAAGTGATCCACTCTTTCATATCATCTTCATTACAATCCTGGCATATTTGTATCTTTAACATTAGCTCATTTATATCCTCCAAAATAGAATCATCCGTATTGGTTATTAAATTTTCATTCTCCCGATTAAGTACTCTGTTCCAAGCCTTGTTTAAAGTTTTCTTTTCAATTAAATCCCACGCATCTACAACCATGTAACAACATTCCTTTAAATTCATTTCTTTAAAAAATGATAAAACAACTTCTACATTATCTTCATCAACAGATCTATCTATTTCATATTAGATATAATTCTATAAAGTCGTTTTAATGTTTCAATAATACTTTGATCCATTGGTAGCAGCATGGATTTCACATTAGGAGGCAAAAATTTTACTTTAAACTTTCCATTTCCTCTTTCCAACAGTTCAGCCGAAGGATGAGTTGGCGCCTTGTTTGCCAATTTCGTTTTGTCTTTTTTTTTACTTCAGGGATAAAAGTGTTGTCATACCAATCAATGAATATTTCAGAGTTCATCCATGCGCTTTTTTGATTTTTATAAATTAAGGGCACCCTGATATTTTTAAAAAAATCTAGATTTTTTTGATTTTCTGATGAGGAGCAAAGGTATTTTATGGGTCCCGGTAGCGTTAGCGCAAACTAATATTGTTACTCGTTCTTTGCTAGTTTTATATCCTGGAGCTAAATTCTCTCGCCTAGAAGCTAAAGATTTTGAAGGTAATGATTTCCAGTTTAATCCGGTTTCATCAGCATTATAAACGAAATCCAAGTCATAGTTATTTTCATCCAATTTCTTCTTAAAATCATCTTTAAAGGAGTTTGCTGCGTCTACATTAGCTGACATTTTTTACCTTGTATTTCTAATTCAGGAATTCCATGACGAGATTTAAATCTATATAACCATCCGTATATAGAGTTCCGGTTCCGGTGATCAAAGTGTAAACACGTACAAGTGAGAGCTCCGTAAATATTTCCAATTAAACAGTGCAAAAAACGAAAAACCGAACGTATACTACAGTGAAAAGTTCAGAAGTTCAAACCAGAAGAGTGTTTCAGCAGAAATTACAGTGAAATAACTAATTTTGTGGCGATTCTGTTCAAACAAAGTTCTGATCGTTATAACCTCAAAGTTAAGCACACACACCATAGATACCAAGATTATAGGTAGTGCCAACCAAATAAAATCTGTCACTGCTATTTGACAGCTGACAACTGCAAAAAGTGTTGCCAACGTAGAAAAAGGATTACCATAAATTTAAGTGTTACCACATCAAAACACCAAAATACCCTGAAAAAAAAAATGGAAAAGCAAATGGAAATTTTACTCTCCAAAATAAATGAAAAGTTTAATGAACAAACAATAACTTTAACAACAGCAATAACGAAAAATGTAATGGAGGCCCTGGACGATAAGTTAAAAATAATAACAGAAGAAAACAACAACCTTAAAACTAGAGTCAGTAACCTGGAACAAAAAGTATCCTTTTTAGAGAAGGAAAAGCGTAAGAATAATCTAGTTTTATTCGGCATCGAAGAAAAAGGAAAAACTGAGTTAGAGTTGGTGGATTTTGTGAAGGAAATTTTGCAAGATTCGGGAACTCATATAGATGATAGTCAGGAAATAAGTGAGATCCATAGAATCGGGACAAATTATGAAAAGAACCGACCGTTAATAATATCTCTAACAACATCTTGGAAAAAACATCTTATCCTGAAAAACAAGCGCAACCTTCTTACAAATGTGTATGTCAATGAGGACTACCCTAAAGAAGTTCTGGAAATACGCAAACAACTTAAGCCAGAATTAGAAGCGGAAAGAAAAAAAGGAAACATAGCGTTCATAAAATACGATAAGCTAATTGTTAAAAAACCAACTAACCCCAGCCGCGAAAAGAGGAAGAGAGAAACACCAACAGGATCCCCAACCACTCCCACCCCATCCCAGAAAAAGACAAATACCCAGAATGAAATTACTGAAATACAGCCCCCAAGTACAATTAAGGAAGTAGTTAAGCCAAGCATACTTACATTTGTAACGCGTGAAAGATCCGCCTCGATGTCAGAGATGCAAAAAAACGAACAAAGGCCTCCTCGAACCGGAAACAACAAACAGATGCAACAACAAACACAGATATAAGAAAAACTCTAATGTTTTGTCCCCCAATCCGGCCGGTCACCGTGGGGGAAGCCGACCACCACCCTCCAACATATCAGTCAACAAAATCAAATACCCAAAAAGATAAACAAAAACGAAGCAGTTTATACATATGTACACTAAATACACGAACCCTGAGAACAGAAGAAAGTTTGCATGAGCTAGAGTTAGCTATCGAAAACCTCAAGTGGGACATCTTGGGCATAAGCGAGATGAGGAGAATAGGAGAAGGAATAGAAGAGCGAAACAGCTATATTATGTATTTCAAAGGTGAAACCGCTGGACACAGAGGGGTAGGATTCCTGGTTAAGTCAAAACTTAAAAAACAGATAATTGGTTTTGAAGGGATATCGGACAGGATAGCGGTGATTCATATTAACTTACCAAAGTATAGAAAAAAATGGACAGTCATTCAAGTCTACTCGCCGACAGAACAAGCAACAAAAACTGAGATCGACAAATTCTACGATAAATTACGTGAAGCTATCGAAAAATATTCCGAAAACAATATCGTGCTCATGGGAGATTTCAATGCCCAAGTTGGCGTCCAACTACCCGGAGAAGAACATATAATAGGAAAATACGGAAGAGGCAAAAGAAGTAAAAATGGAGAAAAACTAGTAGAGTTCCTTCTTGAGCAAAACTTAACACTTCTAAACTCCATGTTCCGTAAAAAAACCCAAGAACAAATGGACATGGATGTCTCCAGACGGAAAGGTTAAGAACGAAATCGACTACATAATAACTAACAAAGCTAGGGTATTTAGTGATACGGAAATAATACAGAAACTAAATTTCAACACAAACCATCGTATGGTACGCAGTTGTCTAAATGAAAGAAGTCCAAAAGCTCCTAGACACCATATGAACCACACGCAAACAACAAACACACAAACGGACACAGAAAACACAATAAAAGATCTGATGGAAGTCGTTGATTCAGATTTGGACCTAAGTGTAAAATACAAAAAAATTGAGAATAAGCTTAAGCAGGCAGGAAAACAATCAAACAAGAGTAAAGAAAACATTTTGAGTGAAAGAACGTTAAAACTAATTGAAGATAGAAAGTTGTTAATAAAAAAAGGATAAAAAGGAGAACCAACAACAAATATCTAACCTTAGCAAACAGATTCGTGAAAATATGAGGAAGGACAGAAAAATCAGAAGAAACACAATTTTAGAGAATCACATCAACAAAACGGGAGGCACGAAAAAATCGCTTAAGGAACTCCGTGAAAAAGGGAAAGAATGGATACCAACGTTAAGAGAAAAGGAAAAAGAACTGCCAGCTACTACTCGGAGTTCAATCCAAAATATAGCAACAAATTATTATCGGTTACTATATTCAAATCAATCTAGCTTTAGCACACATATTAGTGATTACAAACAGATGCATGTGACTGAAGGAAACGAAGACATACCAGAAATATTAGTATCGGAAGTAGAAAAAGCAATAAAAAGTCAGAAAATGGATAAAGCACCCGGCCCCGACAGGATCACAAATGAACTTATGAGAGGGACAATCACAGAACTAAGTCCGCTTCTAAGAAAAATCTTTAATGAGATTCTATATACTGGTAACATCCCTAGTCAATGGGCAGAATCTCATATAATACTTCTCCACAAGAAAGGTCCTAAAGACGATATAGGAAACTACAGACCCATTTCTCTCATCTCAAATGTATATAAAGTTTTCGCCAAAGTCATTTTGGACAGAATCTCAATCAAACTCGACGAAAATCAACCTGTGGAACAAGCGGGGTTCAGGAAAGATTTCAGTACAATAGACCATATTCACACTATCAAACAGCTTATAGAAAAATATAATGAATATAGAAGAACAATTTACATTGCCTTTATAGACTACGCCAAGGCTTTCGACAGCCTTAGACATGAAGTTGTACGGCAAAGCCTAAAAGAGCAGGGCATCCAAAACACCTACATCAAGATCATCAAAAGTATTTATAGCGTTAGTACAGGCAGGATAAGACTGGAATCTATAGGAGATGCTTTTCAAATAAAAAGAGGTGTCAGGCAAGGTGACCCACTTTCACCAAAGCTGTTTACAGCAGTATTAGAACAAATGTTCAGGAAGTTGAATTGGGAGCTTCTAGGTCTAAACATAAATGGATCACGATTTAATCATCTCAGATTTGCTGATGATCTGGTCCTATTGGAAGAAGATCCAAAACTACTGGAGTCCATGATACAAAACCTGGCAGGAAAAAGCAGAGAATTAGGCCTAGAAATGAACTCCAGCAAAACTAAGCTGATGACAAATTCAATTCCCGTAGACATAACAATTAAAGGACAGAAACTGGAATATGTAGAAGAATATGTATATCTTGGCCAGATAATATCGCCTAACGACCAGATGTCGAAAGAAATAGAAAAAAGGATTGCAACAGGATGGAAAACCTACTGGGCTTTGAAAGAAATTACAAAAAAGCAAAGAAATAGGCATTAAAATCAAGAAGAAGACCTTTGATACATGTATTTTACCCTGCATTACATATGGCTGCGAAACCTGGGCTCTGACAAAACATCATAGGGATAAACTTGCAAGATGTCAAAGAAGTATGGAAAGAAGCATGATAGGTTTAAAACTAAAAGACAAAGTAAGAAGTACAGACATCAGGCACAAAACAAAACTAACTGATATCCTGGCTCGTATTGACCAACTTAAATGGAGGTGGACTGGACATATGCTCAGGTGTAAAAAGGAGAAATGGAGCAAACAGGTGACAATCTGGTACCCAAGAGATGGCATTAGGAGTCGAGGTCGCAAAAAGAGAAGATGGGAGGATGACCTGAAAATGACTTTGGGTCCGCTCTGGACAAGAGTGGCGGCAGACAGACATCAGTGGAAAGAGTTGGAGGAGGCCTTTGCCGTAAGGCACACCGAACTGAGAGACCTTTTATAATATGTTGTGCGTTACGTTTTTAACCAGCTGTTAATCTATTTATTTAAGTAAAATTTATGTTTGTAAATGAAAAAACTGTCAAAGTTCGGAAATAAAGGTTTTATTATTATTATTAACCATCCGTTACTTGCGACAAACGAGCCGCCGCCACCTAATTTTTTATTTAACTGTAATGCTTTTTCACAGAGCAAAGGGCCAGATATCGGTTGCCCATTTGATCGTTTTTGTAAAAACCAACAATACAAAGCGTCTTCTAAAAGTTCGTTTTTCGGTTTCTTCATCATTTTCCGATGTTTACTCCCGTCTTCACTATCTAATTTGCAAGTGTACAACAAATTTGAATCGGAATTTTTCTTAATATCACTTATTGTGGATGTACCTACACCATACTTATCAGCTAACTTACGACCAGTTTCTCCTTTTTTTAATGAATCTATAATATTTATTTTGTCTTTAAGGGATAACACCACTCTCTTACACTTTGACATTTTTAAATATTTAGACTAGACACGCACGTCAGAGGGGAGTAACAATTGCTAGCCAACTAAAACAATAACAAAAGTTTTGTTATTGTTTTAGTTATTGTTGTTACGAAACGCGATCCCGCAGGGCGCGGTCGGGGTAATGCCAGTACGGACACGTTCATGCTTGCATAAATTCGATGACTTAATTATTTAATTGGTCGCGGTTGATAGTCCGGATAATCGCGAATCCGTATAACTGAGGCCGGATAATCGAGTTTCTACTGTATAGTAGTTTCATGAAGTATCACGGCTTTGCCTGTACTTTCATTATTATTTTAGGTATTAGACATTTAAGCAATGTAGCATTTAAGTCAAGCAAGTGTATCTACCTACCAATGGAATTTATTGCAGTAGAAATAAGGCCTTATAAGGCTCAACTGTACAAAACCTACAGTTGATTTGAAGGTGCAAACTTTCTTTAGATAAAGATATTATTATTATTGTTAGTCTAGTTCTAAAATTGTGAAAATATGTAGTTTCCAAGACATTCATTTTTTTAAATTATTTATTATATAAAAGTTGCCACTGTTATTAAAATTGTAACATGTCTTAAAAAAGACTCTAGAAAGACTAAAGAAAGTTTTTTGGAAGTTCGTCTCTAAACTCTTATTTTTCCGCACTAGTGTACATATAGATGTACAGAGCTGTTAACAAAAAAATATTTTCCAAAAATAATCCAACAGAATATTATGATGAATAATTATATTTTATTTATCCAGCTACAGTGCAACTGCAACCCATTGCAGTTGGATAAACTTGAGTGTATTTAATTTATTTAATTTAATCATAGTTACAAATAGGCTAATAATTAAAATAACTACGACTTTTGCCCTTTATTATTCAGCTACAGTTGACCACTATGCAGCCCCCCCCCCCCACTCTCCTCTGAAAATCGATTGTAGGTATTGTACATTCCATCCCTAATTTCTGTACTATGGATGTGAACACCCTAATTAATAATGAAAAATTTAATGTTGTTTAGTTACACTGCAGACATATTATGACATGAATGTGTTGGCCCAACCTGGGAAGGACTGCAGTCTCACAGCAAACTAGAGTACAATATTAGCATAATTCTAGCTAAAATATATTTATATGAGGTAGAGCCATGCTGCAGTTATATTAGTAGTATGGTTGTAGCACGAACGGGTCAGCTCGACCGGGGAGGGACCATGCTCTCACAGAATACCAGCGTCAAATGTAGCTTTATGCTGCTGTGTTTCGTATGGTGAGTCTGGAGAACTGGAGACCCTTTTTACTGTAAACGAGGTATTCCATCTTAGTCCTGACGGGTAGCAACGCATCTGCATTTTGATTTGTAATCGAGGATAGATGTAGATGTTTATGGACCAGAGCATCCACTTACCATCAAGTAGAATGTGTGCTCGTTTGCCACCTTATCATATAAAAAAAATATTATAAGTGTAGGGTATACATATGATCAATGATAACTTTTACAAGTAACATATCAGTTTCTCTTATTGTTTAAAATGCGTCACTAGTAGTAGTCTACTAAGTCTCAAAGTAACAAAGCTATACTGTGGTTTTTAAAGATTGTGACTTTTCTAGTATTTCCTATAGTTGTGGTGTGAGATGATGGATTCTCCTTTCACAATTTCACTGCTGAATATAGGCGTCCCCCAAGGAATGCCACGAAGCAGGTCCTGAGCCACCGACATCCATCAACTTCCTGTATATTTTACCAGGTCTTCAATTTATCTAGTGGGCAGACCGTCCTACACTTCACTTACTGGTAGCCATCACATGCCAAAATAATTTTTTTGTTTACTACTAAAATTTTCATCTTTCATGATTATGAGTAAAGCCGACATTACACATGATATTGAATAATTTTATCCGAATATATTTTATTTTCTATTCTTTGATTTTGATATAATTATAAATTTCATAACAAACTATACCTACAGAGGCTTAAAGAAAGACAGTGCACCAGAGACATTTAAGCTGAGAAACAGAACTACAGAAGGTCTTTACCTGCCTGTGCAATATATTAAAATTGTGCCGTTGCTATCTTGGGGCCCAGCTTACAATTACACCATATGGTATGTGGAGCTGCATGGAAAGAATCAGGAAGATCTTATAAAAAATGCTATGGAGACAATTAATTTGGTAGGTGTGAGTTACAAAATTATACATACTTTTATATTAAAGACATGCTTTGAGAGATGACAGGCATCAGGACATTGACAATTGTCATGGGCATCTGCCCATGACAATTGTCAAGATAATGATGATGACAAATGCTACTCAACTCTGATAAGATTGCTCCTATAAATATGTAACTTAATTCTAGTAGTGGACTGTTTTTCGATTGATAATAATATAAGTTCTTAAAACAGCTTCAGATAATTCCTGACTATCATGTTGAGTGTCATAAGCGTCGACTGAGTACCCCAAAAACCACTCTAATGCCAGACCTAAAATAAGCGCCGTTTAACTGTAAATACAAAACAGCCCATCGAGAGATAAATGGGTCATGATTATGATTAAGATGAAATTTACTTAAAATCTACTTACTATTACCAACTGTAATTAATCTTATACTTTATAGCGTAAAGAAGAGGAGGCAGTGCGTATAATACTAAAACATCTCCGACGGCGACGGTACAAGGACGCTTTTGAAGCACTGTCTAGAGAAAGTGGAGTACAACTCGAAGGACCAATACAGTCGCGACTTTGGAATGCATTGGTTGAAAATGGAGATTATAAATTAGCGGAGCAGATATTAGAAGAGGCTATGAATGGTATTTTTTATATTTATTTCTCTTATTTTTTTTTGTTGTTACTACGCCCTAATAGCAGCCATCACAACAGTAGACTTGTGAGCTGGAACATTTAAATCAAAACAGTATATACAAATTATTGAGATTTTCAATCAAAACAACCGCTCGACTGTTCGGTGGACGTACCGGCAAAGGACAGTCATCTTAAATTTCTTAGGGAGTTGGAGATGATGAAATTTTCTATGCCAATTACATTTGATCAGGTTGCGGTAATGCATTAGTTACCACACAGATGGTTGCTGCATACAGGGCTAAACCTTTCCGCACGCCGGGATCACTCGAAGTTGCTTGCAACTTCAAAGGACTGTTGAACTTCTTCGGGGAGATTTCATGGCTCAAATAATCACATTATTCCTGCCCACACGGAAAATATGCGCTTAGGTGTAGAGTTGTGGAAAACAGCCCGTCGTAAACTAAACTAAACTACCACGATAGATTCGACAATTTTGTTCACCTTTGCTATTTCTTAGACTCTCTTTTCTAGTATATAATAATTAATTTACCACTTTTGCATTCATTCGTTACAGATTAAAATCTACTGCCTTATAAAGTCCTACAACATAGATTGCCTTTTTAGGGAGATATTTGCCTTAGTTTCCACGCTCGGCATGTTTGAGAACCGCAGTTTTATTTAATTAATTTTCAATTTTTATCAAAAAGCTTTGCTATCATTGCTCTCTGTCGCCTCTTACTACTCCACGGGGTGATACTGGGTAGTGGATTTTTTTACGTTGCAACATGACGAATTGACAATGTGATAATGAACAACTGTCGAACTTGTTACATGTCATGTTTATGGACATTAATCATTATTTATTAATTTATGTTTTTGTTTATTTTTATCTGGTGCATTCGGGTGCCCCCTTAAGCTAGACCAACGTGTACTGGGCCGGTGTAGCTTAAAATTTGGTAAAAAATAAAGCAGTTCGGTGTGATTTTTGGATGGAATGATGATTGGGTCATCACTCTAGTTTTGTTGGGTGTATGCCGGTGTAGTGTGGACTTACACTTCTTAATTAGTTAAGCTGCGTATCCGCGTAAAATAAATGATGTGTCTTGTCAGTTTTATGAGCAAGAGATTGACACTATCGTCGTCAACTGTTATCCCAACACCACTACCCTATGAAAAAACTAAACGAAGCATCTTCAGGAGAAATAGCTTCGGTGATGGCTTAATAATATTTGAAGAAAGATGAGATGAATTGTTGGAAACACCCATATTTAGCAACTTAATAGGCTGATATCATCGTATTGCGATTTATGGAAACATTTGCTATAATCGGCTCTTACGACACTCACTAAACTAACGACACCAACACCGCGTGTGTGCGTAACTTTTCGTTTTCTGGTGTTGAAAAATACTGTCATGAAAGTAAAGACTGACTATATATTAAACTAGCTTGCCAGGCAGACGTTGTTCTGCCCTTTTCGACTACCCTTTGTCATGTCCTATTAAAAATCCTTAAATTCGCAAAAAAAAAAATTTTGGGTCACTCATGGCCAAAAAACTACTATCTCTCAAGTTGGACCAAACTGCACACGTTGGGCAAATTTGATTAAAATCGTAATCCTTTAATTCAACTTTAATTAATTTTTATTATCCCCTTTTCGGTTTAGTAGTTTAGGAGTCCACAAACAACGCGACACGTAATTTATATATATTAAGATGATTGATGTTCGTGTCCGACCGAAGGATTTCTGGCCGAAATCGAAGGCTAAAACTCTTAAGAAACTTGAAAAGTTTATATTAACTGTATTAAATGTATAAAAAAGTAATTAATCATCTCCACACAGAAGAAGCACAAGAGCAGAATAAATGCAGTAGAAATGCGGTCGCTAAGAAGTATGGTAGGACTGAATCTGAGTGACAGGGTGAGAAACTGTGTGATAAAAGAAGAGTGTGGTTTGCAAGATGATGCAGTGACCAAGATTAAGAAAGGAATGCTTCGGTGGTTTGGTCATGTAGAAAGAATGAATGCGGAAAGACTGACAAAGCAAATATATGTTGCAGAAGTGAATGGAAGAGTCGGAAAGGGACGTCCTAGGCGGAAGTTTGTCGACCAAATTGGCGATATACTAAAAATGGGCCAAATTAAGAGTACCCTTAACCGACGAGCATGTATGCGTAGGTATATGGATCTGGAAGAGGCGAGAGAGGTATGTGTCAGGATCGTGCTAAATGGAAGTCTGTAGTCTCTGCCTACCCCTCTGGGTGACAGGCGTGAGTGTTTATAATCATCTTCAGAAGTTGATCTACACATGATGAAAATTGCATCGCCACGTCTATCGCGCTCTCGGTTCATTCGTAACAGTTCGTTCAATTTCGTGGCAATTTGTTAACCTTCGGCTTCCACCAAAAATTTAGAACCATTTTGACCGAAGCTGAAGTCGAAGTTTCGGTGGTACAGTTTTGATGTGATGTGATGGTGCCGCAGAGGGCGAGATGGACTGGTACATGTCGTGGCAGCCGTACCGGCCGCAGTGGCGGCAGCTGTCCGCGTGCTCGGCGGCGGTGGAGGCGCGCCTGTGCTGCGGGGACGCCGCGCCCCCCGCGCCCCGCCTGCGCACCCACGAGCTCGCCTGCGCGGACCGCGACCCGCGCCTAGACTTGCCCGTCAGTTCTTTTATTTTCAATTTTTTGCATGACTATTCTAAATTCAGTCCGGTCTAGCCTAATTATGTTTATTTTATTCAGATTTTTTACAATATTTGTTTGTTTTTTGACATTTTGACGACAGTTTAACTCAGTGGACAGTTGTAGACGATAAACACAACCAAAACACTGATAATTCACGTGCGCAAACATTAAAAATACGATATCGCACTTTTACATATCAATACCCACTTCAAATCAATACGTAAACAATAATACAGGAGTAACAATACGTCTGCGGTCAAGTTCCCACTGAAACTGTTGCTTGGAATCCTATGATTACTTTGCCAGTATCAAGTTTTAGAAGTGAAAACTTCTTTAGACATGTTGGGCATTTTTGAAATGGGAAATAAGCACTGAACTCGCGTGATCATTACGCTCAAGTAGATTTGAATCAAAATTGTTCGTTTCTTATTTTAGTTACCATAAGCCTATAGTATCAGTCTGGGAATATGATGATAATAATGATAATGACAATTATTAGAGAATTTTTGAAATTATAGGTGAAAATTGATGAAAGTAATGTTGAACATCCTATTGATAAAATTTTATAAAATTAGTATGTATTTATGTAAATTTTTTTGTGTTATGTAATAATCTCTCTTTTTCATATAAAACAGCTCAATAAATGAACATTTTATTACTATATTAAAACGTTGTTAAAAATAATTTCTAATATAAAATACTTCCTAAAATTATTTCTTAACCACCCAAAAATAATATTTACAAGTTTGTGAAGCTAAGAAGTTTTCAATTCTGACGCGCTATTTACAACTGACAATTTTTTTATAGTTAAGGATAAAAACCCATTACGTGGTAGAGCCATGCTGTAGTTATATTAATTGTATAGTTGTAGCACGAATGGGTCGGCTCGACCGGGGAGGACCACGCTCTCACAGAATACCAGCGTAAAATAGCAGCTTAATACTGATGTATTTCGTATGGTTAGTGTAGAGATCCGGAGACCCTTTTTTACTGGAAACGAAGCATACCGTCTTAGTCCTCAGGGGTGACAACGCATTTGCGTTTTGATTCTTAATCGGGGATAAATGTAGATGTCTATGGGCCACAGCAACCACTTACTTGTCACCCTTTTCCTAAAAAAAAAAACCGAGCACACGTGCCACATGTAAGTAGTGTTGTGATCTATAAACACGTTTATGCTGTCCTAAAATCTAAGATAAAATGTCCTTTTACCGGTAAAACTGCATCCGGTTCTCTACACTCACCTTGTGAAACTTTTTTTGTCAGAACGGTTTTCTGTCAGCGCGTGGTCCTTCCCCGATCGAATTGACCCATTCGTTCTGCAACCATAATATAGCTGCAGTAAGGCTCTTCAGTGTTAAATTTAAATGAAAAATTGGCAATTCTCCTTTAATTTGTTGAGTTTGCGAAGATTCTGGAACGCTTTTGCAATAGAACCAAAACACAGTCGGTTCGAAATAACTTGAGGTTCTTTTAGGACTTTGCATAAATGTTACATACTTAAATGCGTCTCTTTTAGCAGGAGTTGTCTACGAATGGGTCGGATGGTGTGGGAGTGGGAGTGGGGGTTAGTGTGGGTGTGGAGACGTGCGAGGCGGGCTGCGAAGGCGAGTGCGAGGCTCGACCCGGACCTCGCGGCGGGCATCAGCTTGTCGTCGACCCCAACACCGGTAAGGTTATCATATCCACCTAACCAATTTTCATTCTCAACAACTAACTTCAAATAAAAGAAAGATAGATTAACGTCGTTTAGTGGCTGGCGGTGTAAGAAAATTCATCATCCTAGTTTGGTTTGTGAGTGGCCTAAATGCGACTATGCAATATGCAAAAAATATTGTTGCGCGCCTAATTTGATGTCTGGTACCTGGCACTAGCGCCATCTAGTGTCGGGGAACAGAGCAAGGAGGGCTTCCTAGAAAATTCCAATCTTGAACTTTCCACCAACAGCGCCATCTAGTATCGAACAGAAGAATTAAGCTTTCTAGAAGGGTCTACTCTCGTACTTTCTGTACTTAGTCGTTCGGGACCCGTATTTGCTGGAATATTCTGGATGTTTCGGTGGAAAAGGCGTATTTAAAGCCCTTGCAAGCCGCGATCGGGGCAGTATTGAATTTGGCGAGACAAGCGAAGCTTCGGAGCGAAATAAAGTGAATCAGTGTGATAATTATTAGTGTCTTTTAAGTTTAAATTGGTGTTCGGTAATAAAAGTGTACATTTTGGTAATTCAATCGGCAGTTTTTATTGTCACGAACTCTAAGCTCGTAACAATATTTTTATAATATTTCCCGTTCCCTGAATTGAAGTAAATGCTTATGTCTCTTTTTAAAAATTGGTTAGGCAAACCGGCTGCCAGTCTACTTGGAGGTAATTGGCTTCAGCTTGTTGACACTTGCAAACAACGTCGAGCAAATATGGTTACTAATGTGTTGTCACCTCTGTGCACTGTTGAGGGAGGGCATGGTCCGGTCGGCACATTTTAATGGTAAAAAACATACTACTAGCTCATAACCAGTTCACTCCAATGCGTACTCTGGATCTGGAAACATCTATAAAACGCTCACTCTCACATTTAGGCCTGAACCTAAATGCGACTATGCAATATGCAAAAAATATCATGGTTTCCGACAGATATAGACTTGTTACGAGATAATATTTAAATTTTCCCGTAGTTTATATAATAAATATATAAAATACCCAGGTCAGCATCAGAGTATACATACGTTAAGAAGTTAAGACCCGAAAATCTATAATTTGTGTTTTTCAAAAATGTTTACTTCGCCTATTAAGCCAATCCAGCACTCGCAGCGTGGGCAACGTGGTCGTGAATAATAATTACACCGGCAAAGTATCCGCAACAGAACCTGAGTAACAGATTAAACCCAAAGTAATAATGTCCTCCAGACCGAATTTCGGCCACGGCGGCCTGCCTCGGCGCAGGACAGGATTATAGTGCCCAAGTGTATGCGCAAGCACAGGTGCACTCTCTATTCCCTCACTCTCGTAATCCGATGGGACGGTAAATCGACACGACCGGAGAGAGATCAGGCGTAGAACCAACGGCTTTACGTGCTTTCAGAGGCACGGGGGTGAGACACTGACAACTTCATGACTCCGGGCAACTACTGAGAATTTCTTGATGGTGAAACTCAATAGTTAATATTTTTGGCCCGACCCGGGATTCGAACCCAGGACCTCATGATCAGCAGTCGTACTACTACAACCACTAGACTAACGAGACAGTAAAAAAAACCAAAGTAGCAATAAGCTGAAGTAGCAATGGACTGACCATATAGCTCGAAGAAATTAATAACCGAAGGGAGGAAGACATGTTCTCGAATACCAGCTTAGTACCGGTAAGCAAAGTGTAAGGCGGCTCCCCAGATGGAGATGAGAGCGGACATAGATGGAGTAACGATCTGGTTGCATGTCTAATGCGTTAGTCGTTGGATGGAAGTGGCTCGGGACCATGATTTGTGGCATTCCTTCGGGGAGGCCTAAGTTCAGCAGCAGTAGAGTTTTGAATATACCGGTGAGGTATTTCGTTTATATTATTTTCGTTATATTTTAGGTGAGAGAGAGAGAGAATTCGTTTTGATAATAACTTATATAAACAGACCAAAGTGATAAGAGATACATTTACACTTGATAGTGAAAGCCAACGTTCGTGGCAGTGGCGGTCATAAAAAGCGGTTATAATATTGCGATCTCGCTCGTTCATATTGGCCCCATGGAAAGTATAGTGGTTTCTATCGATAACGCTTATTACCAATAATTATACTGAAAAAGTAAACAATCATTATTGTAAACAAAAATAATCACATTAGAAATAACATATTATCTACATAGGTAATTAATCGTAATGGGGCTACTCACACAGGATTATCAAATAGTTAAATATAAAGTTAGTTGAATTTGTCTAAGAGCTGAGATAAGCAGCACATATTGGCTATACTCACGTTAATAATATTGTAATACATAGATGGACTAGTGGTCGTAAGCGCGACTGCTTCTCGTGAGGTCCCGGGTTCTAATCTCGGATTGGGTCAAAATCGATTATTAGGATTTTCTGTTAAGGTATTCCCAGATGCACCCTGAATTGGAGTCAGAAAGTTGGCGGTGTTTCACCCTCGTGCCTCGGAAAGGACGTAAAGCGATTGGTCGTGCGCCTGATCTTTCTCCAGTCGTGTTGGATTGCCGACCCGTCGGACTATGGGAGTGAGGGAATAGAAAGCGTATCTTTGCTTTTGCGCACACACTCGTGCACTATAATCATGTGCTACGCACATGGCTAGACTTCATTAAAACTGGCTGCAGTGATCGAAATTCGATCTGAAGGACATTATTATAATGTTATAAATAATGCTTACCGCTAGCAATGAGATAGATATAAACCTTATATCTATATTTATATTTATTTATTATTATATATTTTGATAACGATATTTAAGTTTTTTATTGATGACAAGTTTGATTCAGACGATAGATGGCAATGGTGCATCTGAAAAAGTCCTCGGTGGTTCTGGTCTGACTATCGCTAGCGTATAAAGAATGATAAATAAAGCGAAAAGAATCATAAGGTTAGCGGAAGACATTTGAGCTGTTGCAATATCTTCAACTGTTTATTTAATTTTTTTTAGCTTTTACATTTTTCAAGTAATTTCACTCGTTTGTTATAAATTTTTATACGGATTTCATAATGGCAACAAAATACATTATGAATAAAAGTTATTACATTATATTTATGACAAAAAAGGTTGAGTTTTGTCTTATTGTTTTTGTTTTAGGCACCTTATACCTGTTTGGTGGTTGGAACGGCACAGAGGATCTGGATGATCTCTGGTGCTATACCACAACCTCGGAACGCTGGACCCTGCTGTGCCAGCATAGCAGTCTCATGTCCGGTCCGTCGCCGCGTTCGTGCCACAAAATGGTCTTTGACCCTGTAAATGAACGACTTTACACTCTTGGCAGATATCTGGATAATGCGCAGCGGGTGCCCAGTAATATGAATGTTAGTATTTTTTCATTTTAATGTTATTTATGCATAGAATACTATAATACACAATAGAATGGCTGGGAACCTTATTTTGTACCGAGGTTCGGCGTCGCCCGGAGCACACATACAAGCAATTACGTCGTATTATCAGTTAATCATCACTACAAACCCGATCCGCTGTATTGACAGACGGATTTTAATACATATTTATTTGTAAATAGAGCGTGCAATTTGGCATTTTCTAAATAATTTGCATGCGAAATTTGGAAACAATTGTAACGTCAAAACACATCTCGTGTTGACATTTATATGTGTGAATTGACTTCTTGTGGCATTTTAGTGGTTACATGCCCACACCCCTGTTCTATTATGTATATATTATAGTATTCTATGTATTTATGTTATACATGATAAAGTAAAATAAAATTTCGTCTCTTCTTTTTTCTTTTCCATTATCAATCTTTAAATGTTTTTTGCAAAAGATTGGAAAAGGATTTTGAAAATTGGTTTAAATGCATAAAACTTTATATAGACAGATGCCGGTTAAGAGTTCTTTGAAAAATTATTAATAAAAACCTTAACCTTAGAACTTTTTTTAAACACCAAAATGCAAATCGTTGTCACCTCTAAGGACTAAGGTATAAAGCCTTATTACTAGTAAAAAAGTTACCGACTCTCACCATATGAGACACAGCTGCGTTATGCTGAGTCGATCCATTCGTTCTGTAGTCATGTTACAGCTGCAGAATGGCTGCTACAAACTAAGTTGGACCCATTACAATAACTTCCGATTAGGATATAATCATCAAAAGATCATTAATGATGATTAAAACTACTTTTACGGATTTTATCGCGTTTATTTTTACTTTTTATTTTTAACTTTTTATTTTTAATTCCCGACGTTTCGGGCGCTTTCCAGCACCCATGGTCACGGGGGACTGAGATGACTGACGTCCCGATGTCATTGTTAAACCCGGAGTACCTTCAGCTTTTTTAATTATTGTTTATTGTCCGATCTATGCAAAATGAACTGACTATGTCTTGAGGTCTTGCAGTGGTATGCTTGGGTTTAGTTTTAATTTTATTGATTATAGGATCCCAAGCAGGTGGTAGTACCCAGCCTCCTTCTCTATTGAAATTAGGATGTTTTTTAATTTCAATAGCCTCACGTATCATCCTTGGTAGGAATCGGTGTTCTTTCGCGAGGATTTGTGGTCTATCAAATCTGATGTAATGGTTGGGGCCGTCTAGGATATGATCACAAACTGCAGACTTCCCGGAACGTTGATGCTTCACATCAGCTATATGTTCTTTTACGCGGGTCCTAATTGATCTTTTGGTTTGTCCTATATAAGAGAGACCACATTCACAATCAAGCTTGTACACTCCTGCATCTTGTAGAGGAATATGACACTTGACGGATGGTAGGAACTGACTAATCTTCTTCGGCGGCTTGTAGAATGTTCTAATAGAAGCTCGCTTCAAGATATAGCCAATCTTGTCTGTGACACCTCTGACATATGGTAGTACAGCAGGCACACGCTCGACTGTGGCCGGCTTCACTCGGTCACTGTGACGTAGGCGCGGGACCCGAAGCTTGTAGTCGTGCAGAACTTGCTTGACGTACTGAAGCTCGGCCTCCAGGTGTTTGCTGTCACAGATCCCTCGTGCTCTCTGTAATAAAGATTTGCCCACGGTAGCTAACTGTGAAGGATGGTGGTGAGATTCACCGTTTAAATATCGGTTTGTATGGGTCTTTTTCCTATACACAGTGTGACCAATGGTGTTATTAGGATTTCGGATGACTAATACATCTAGGAAAGGTAAGGAATTATTTGCCTCTAACTCCATAGTAAATTGAATTTTAGCGTTTATGGAATTAAGATGTTCTAAAAATGCAGTTACTTTGTCTGATGGTAAAATTGTGAAAGTATCGTCATCGTACCGCTTGTAGATCCTTGGTGTAACAGATGCAGTAAGGAGGGCTTTCTCCTCAAAGTCTTCCATGAATATATCGGCGACAATGGGAGATACAGGTGAGCCCATCGCCACACCATCTACTTGCTTGTAAAACTCTTCCTTCCACAATAGATAGCCAGATGTAAGGCAATGTCTTAGTAATACTGCATATTCTGCTGGCATGTTATTTTCCTTTAGTTTCCTAGTTATAATTGAGATGCAGTCTTCAACAGGTAGGCATGTATTTTTGCCCAATTTAAAACTTCGGTTAAAAACGTCGGGAATTAAAAATAAAAAGTTAAAAATAAAAAGTAAAAATAAACGCGATAAAATCCGTAAAAGTAATTTTAATCATGTGCAATGTTCGCGTAAATATAAGAAATCATTATGTTAACCAGTACGAACTGGAAATAGCAAATAAAATACGCCGATTAGAAGATCTAAAGACCAAGCGCGCAAGATATATAACAGCTTTAAATTACTTGAAGAGATGCAGAGATCATAATCTCATTCCTACGTGTGTCAAGATATCCACTAAAAAAGACATTCGAGGAAGCGCCAAGATCTTAAATCAGGCTAGTAAAAAGTTGTTAATAACGGTGATTCAGCAAAAACGTACCGATCTATATTTCATAAACAAAACCATAGACAATTCGTCCAGTGAATTAAAGACAGTTTTATCGACATTTGATTATAAAAATTGCATGGAAACTTTGGATAAACGCGAAACAACTAAATACAATGAATGCAAAAATAAACACATTGATAAATACCATAAATTAACAACTAAATCAAATGTCCAACATACGAAATCGTTGACCACAGACACGAATCATAAACAACGCGCTGTCTACAACTTTTCAAAACAAACACTGGACGACGCCACAATAAAAGTTTTAGAAAAAGGTATTAATTTCGCAATAACACCGCGAAAAATACCGTATGAGGACATTATCTGTAGTGTTGAGGACTGTCTGTATAAAAATAATATTGGTAATGAAGATTTAGAGGCCATACGTCAAGACATCTCGTCTATGTTACGTCGAAGTTCAGCGCCGAAATTAAATCTCCCCAAAAATGAATTTAACGCGTTGAAAAACTTACACAACAGACCAGAGCTTACGATTCTCCGCGCAGATAAAGGTAATTCTACGGTTATAATGGATACGTCAGATTACAATTTTAAAATACAACAACTTTTGTCGGATGAAAATACTTATCTAAAGGTCAAAACAGACCCTACAACTAATACGCTTAAAACAACTAGCGATCTAATTAAGAAATACTCCGAAAAATTGAATCTGGACGTTAATTCGATAATACCTTCCTGTGCCAAACCACCGAAGTTGTATGGGTTACCAAAGATACACAAACCGAATGCTCCATTACGTCCAATAGTGAGTCAGATTGATTCGCCAACTTACAGATTGGCTCAATACTTAGCTAAAATATTGTAACCACTCAGAGGACACACAAGAGCACACACTAAGGATTCATACCATTTTGTCAGTGAGATAAAAGACCTACATCTTACTGACAATGAAACCATGGTCAGTTTTGATGTTCAGTCTCTATTTACATGCCTACCTGTTGAAGACTGCATCTCAATTATAACCAGGAAACTAAAGGAAAATAACATGCCAGCAGAATATGCAGTATTACTAAGACATTGCCTTACATCTGGCTATCTATTGTGGAAGGAAGAGTTTTACAAGCAAGTAGATGGTGTGGCGATGGGCTCACCTGTATCTCCCATTGTCGCCGATATATTCATGGAAGACTTTGAAGAGAAAGCCCTCCTTACTGCACCTGTTACACCAAGGATCTACAAGCGGTACGTAGACGATACTTTCACAATTTTACCATCAGACAAAGTAACTGCATTTTTAGAACATCTTAATTCCATAAACGCTAAAATTCAATTTACTATGGAGTTAGAGGCAAATAATTCCTTACCTTTCCTAGATGTATTAGTCATCCGAAATCCTAATAACACCATTGGTCACACTGTGTATAGGAAAAAGACCCATACAAACCGATATTTAAACGGTGAATCTCACCACCATCCTTCACAGTTAGCTACCGTGGGCAAATCTTTGTTACAGAGAGCACGAGGGATCTGTGACAGCAAACACCTGGAGGCCGAGCTTCAGTACGTCAAGCAAGTTCTGCACGACTACAAGCTTCGGGTCCCGCGCCTACGTCACAGTGACAGAGTGAAGCCGGCCACAGTCGAGCGTGTGCCTGCTGTACTACCATATGTCAGAGGTGTCACAGACAAGATTGGCTATATCTTGAAGCGAGCTTCTATTAGAACATTCTACAAGCCGCCGAAGAAGATTAGTTAGTTCCTACCATCCGTCAAGTGTCATATTCCTCTACAAGATGCAGGAGTGTACAAGCTTGACTGTGAATGTGGTCTCTCTTATATAGGACAAACCAAAAGATCAATTAGGACCCGCGTAAAAGAACATATAGCTGATGTGAAGCATCAACGTTCCGGGAAGTCTGCAGTTTGTGATCATATCCTAGACGGCCCCAACCATTACATCAGATTTGATAGACCACAAATCCTCGCGAAAAAACACCGATTCTTACCAAGGATGATACGTGAGGCTATTGAAATTAAAAAAACATCCTAATTTCAATAGAGAAGGAGGCTGGGTACTACCACCTGCTTGGGATCCTATAATCAATAAAATTAAAACTAAACCCAAGCATACCACTGCAAGACCTCAGGACATAGTCAGTTCATTTTGCATAGATCGGACCATAAACAATAATTAAAAAAGCTGAAGGTACTCCGGGTTTAACAATGACATCGGGACGTCAGTCATCTCAGTCCCCCGTGACCATGGGTGCTGGAAAGCGCCCGAAACGTCGGGAATTAAAAATAAAAAGTTAAAAATAAAAAGTAAAAATAAACGCGATAAAATCCGTAAAAGTAGTTTTAATCATGTGCAATGTTCGCGTAAATATAAGAAATCATTAGATCATTAATGATTATGATATAAGTATGTACTTATATCATAATCGTTAATGATCTTCACAAGTTGCCAGTTTTTGCAGTCTTAGAGCCACGCTGCAACTATGTTATGGTTGCAGCACGAATGGGTCTGTTAAACCGGGGTAGGACCACGCTCTCACAGAACACCAGGGTCAAAATAGCAGCTTCATGCTGTGTTTCGTGCGGTGAGTGTAGAGAACCGGAGACCCTTTTTACTGGAATAATGGCATTCCAGTCTCAAAATGACAACGCATCTGAATTTTTTTCTTTAAAAAAAAAAACGTTACGCCCACACTAAGATTTTCTCCAGTATCGTGGAGGCAGTTTACAAACATGAATTGCACAAGGACAAACATCCAGACTTGGAACAATTATTTGTAGGCCATACAAATACTTGTTCCGTGCGGGATTCGTACCCGCGGTCCCCACCGCAGCCACTCGTTGCTAAGCCACTGCGCCATGGAGCCATTTTGATTCTTAATTGAGAATAAATGTAGGTGTCTACTTAACATCAGATGGAATGTGTGCTCGTGTGTCACCCTTATTCTATAAAAATAAACAAAAAAAAATCATTCCTGAAAGTAGGCTTACCGTAAGGAATGCCACTCAACACGGTCCTGATATGCATCATATCCATCGGTTTCGTACGTGTCTTACTTAGTCTTACTTACTTAGTGCGGGGGGGGGGGTCGAACTACACTGCACTTATCTGTACGAGACTGCCACTGCTAGAACATTTCTACCCTAACTTCAACTTTTGCGTACTTATGTAAAAATATACGTTAGTGTAGTTGAATATTTATGAAGTGAATAAAAGGATTTATTTATCCATCCATTACAGTCTATAAAAGACTGCTGAACATAGACTTCCCCCATAGAATGCCTTACAAGGGTGATTTTGCCATAGCTGCCATGCATGTAATTGCAGGCTGGCAACCGCAGTTTTATATTATTTTGAGTTGTTATCACCAAGATGCTGCAGCCCATCACCTGTGTCAATTTCTCTTTGTCGCCTCTTACGACACTCACTGGACGATATGTGATAGTGGATATTATTAAGCCACCAGCACTACACGGGTACTTAATATATTTTTGTAATGGTCGTTCGCAGAGTGACCTGTACATGTACGACGTACGTTCGGGCGAGTGGTCGCTGGTGTGCGGCGACACGGCGGCGGCGGGCGGGCCGCGGCTCGTGTTCGACCACCAGATGTGCCTGGACGCTGACACGCAGACCATCTACGTGTTCGGCGGACGTGTGCTACCGGCCAACACGTGAGTTGGCACCGCCTTAGCCACGCTTGTGACATACTTGTCGCTCGTCACATACACTAACGTATACACACACACTTAAACATACACTTACACACAAACGCGCGCGCGCGCACACACGCACACACGCACACGCACACACGCACACGCACACACACGAACGCACTTATCACACATGTTATCGCAATTTCTGCTAAATATATTTGTAATTTATTTAGCTAGGGATTTTATTCCCTAATCTTGGTATATATCCCTAATATAAAAAAAATAAATAAAAATACGACATAAATATGCATAAAAAAGTACAATGTAGTTTTTTTTATATTTATGTCGTTTTCTTCATTTTTTTATATTGTGTATGTCAATGGCTTGTGCCAAAATTAAGTTTTTATCTCTTCTTCTCTTTCTTTCATCATGAAGTAGTCGCTCAATCGAGTAACGTAACCTGATTTTCATCGAACGTATAGAATCGATTATTATTATATATCCCATGCCATGCTATATATATAACGATGCGACATGTATTTAGAATTGCGGCTTTTTGTATATTAACGTATGAGTTCGGTGATATGTCTAGCATTTTCAAACTATGATGTAAGTGTTTCGGGATTATTCCGGTGGTAGAAAGTACTATGTATTATAAAAACTTTTTTCATCTTCCACATTTTTGTTATTTCTTCTTTCAGTTCTGTGTATTTATTTATTTTTTCGGTTATAGATTAAATTATATTATGCGTATTAGGTACGGCTATAGCAATGATATATACTGTTTTATTTATTTTATCTTGAAGCGTAATATCCGGTCTATTATAATGGATGGTTTTGTCTGTCTCAATAGCACGGTCGTAGTACATTTTAAAATTTATATTTTCAAGTACGGCCGTATGTGTGTATTTGTAATATGGTATATGTGTGTCTGGGATTAGTCTGTGTTTGATTGCTAATTTTGTTGTATTATATTTACTGGCTGGTTGTGTCTGTGAGTGTAATCTGTGTGCGTGAGTGTTGGGTAAGCTCCTGTAATATGCCGAATGGTCTCGGGCTGTTTATAACATTTTCGACATTTATCATCTGCTATTGTAGGATCTTTAATTATATATTTTTGATAATTTATCGTATTAATGGCTTGATCCTGTATTGCTATCATGAAGCCTTCAGTTTCAGGGAATAAGTAACCACATACAAGCCACTTATTCGATGCCTCCGAATCTACATGTGCTTGACCTAAGTCATAGGGATGACTACCATGCAAAACTTTTTTTTCAATTGTATTAATTTCAAGTGTTCTCTGTCTGCATACTGATCATTTATTTCTATTATATGTGGATTTTATACAAGGTTTAATGGTGTGAGGTTCACGTCTATTCTAACAATACGAACAATGAGAATCGATTTCTCTTAAAAATCGTATATTGTATTTTTAGTTGAAATATCTGATCCAATAAATGTGACAGCTGTGAAGAGGTATTTCTTAGATTTGGTGCAGTAGAATTTCTTTGTATTATGAATTGTGTTGTGTGTAATGAAAAATTCTTGCGTTCTTAGTGAGGAGCTGGTTAGCCCGCAGTACTCAGGACTGTACGCGTACTACATAGCGAACAACACGTGGCAGCTGCTTCTGCCCGACCGCCACGACCTGCCCGCGCCGCAGCCCAGGGTCTCACATTCTATGCTTTTTCATCCGGTGAGTACTTTGTATTTTGTTTCTATTCACTAGCCCTTAAAAAAAGCTACTACTCAGTTGACGATTACCTAAATGACAAAAATAAACTTCATGAATGTTAATTTATATATTTGTTAATTTATATATAATTCATATATTAATATATTTGCACGTTCTAGACTTATGGTTCACGATCATCATTAAAAAACGAAATCGTTTAAATTTTAATACATATTTATTTGTAAGTAGTATGCAAGCTAATTACAGATACAATCGCAGTAAGTATTATTTTTTATTGTTGTAAATAAAAAGTTGTTGAACAAGTTTAGATGCGTAGCATCATATTATAGTCTGTGCGTTTAAGCAAATTGTATTATATAACGGTATCGTAGCTAGGGATGTAGTCTTATTTAGTGATCTACCAGTAACCACCGGTCAAATTTGAGTATAAAAAGTTAATAATTTCAATAATATTTGCTATTTTATGTGTAACGAGACGACAGTATCTCAATTAGTTTTGTACAATCTTCTACTAAAAGACAAATACTTAAAGTATTCACTTTGTAATTTAAATGCAATGAAAAAATGTTTTATATGTGTATATCCCCAAATACAAGTTTCTTTGTAAATTTTAGATTAAAAAATGCAAAATTAGATTCAAAAATATATAAACATATTGTTATGTATTATTTAATGTTGTCAATTTTAAATTATACTTCAAAAATATAAGACAAAAACAAAATCATATTGCAGAAAGAATTTACATACTTTTCTATTTTATTTTTAATACGCAAAATCCTTTCCAACTTTTATGTCTAAACTGCTGAACTGATTTTGATAAAATTGTGACAGTGTGAAATCTGGTTAAGTTAAAAAGGTAAACTATCACAGCTTAGTAGGCTTTACAAGTTTAATCTTTATTAAAAAGCTACGAAAGGAAATGCTAAGCCACTCAATCGATTTTAACGATATGTTTACGTGGTAGAGCCACCCTGCAGCTATATTGTTGTGCGCCATAATTAATGCCTAGTACATGGCAGGTGATAATTAGCGCCATCTAGTATCCAGTAGCAGAATTAGGAGAACTTACTAGCAAATTCCTTGCTAGACTGTTTTCAGTAGAAAAGATCCTGTATAAGACTGTTATTGACCGCGACCCGAGTCAGTATTAAATTGGCGATTCAAACGGAGACTTCGGAGCGATATAACTATGAACTTAAGGGTTAAGTGTGATAAATTTTAAGTTTTAATTGGTGTTCGATAACTAAAGTGTCAATTTTGGTAATTCAATCGGCAGTTATTATTGTCACGAACCCTAAGCTCGTAACAATTAACGTCAGAAGTGGGATAAAATCATGCCAATTTTACCTAAGGACGATACGGAGGGTGTCCGTACCCGAAGTCAACGCCACCAGGAGACGGACCACAGACGATTTGGTGATGCAACGCCGCAGACTTGGTTGGTTGTAGCACGAATGAGTCGGCTCGACCGGGAAAGAACCACGCTCTCACAGAATACCAGCGTAAAATACCAGCTATAGAGAACGCGGTATGACCGACTTCCACGCGGACGAAAGCTAGTATTCATACAATTCTTCAAATTGATATTTCTTTATTATTGGTTGCCTTCAAAATGAGTCTACCTGTTTGCCTACGTTGTTTAACATCAACAAATTGCAAAACGTTGCAACAAAAATTAGGAAGACGGTAATTAGTTCGTTTAATAAATAAAATAGTATTTAAAGACTTATAAAATTTATTAAAAAGTTAAAGTTAACATTTAGAAATTCAACTAGGCCGTGACAACTAAACACATCCTATAGATTAATTTCAAAAAGATTTTTCATTAACCTTGAAAAAATGTATATTTGTTTTACAATTGGTATTTTAGCAAGCCAGATTACCGACAAGAAATTATATCGAATATTGATATATTTTTCAAATATATATTTTACATAATATGATTTTCTGTAGTATATTCCATTTGGTTTAATGTAATCTCAGGAAACAGTTACTAGAGCATATGAGTGAATACCACGTTTCGAGCTTATATCTTTCTTTCTATCAGTGTTGTCATCTGGAGCCTCGTTTTTTCGAGCTATCACATTCTCAGATGTTGAATTAATCCTTGTCACAGGATCACTCTTACCGGGGCTAATGCTATGTGTATGGATAAGAAGTGTTTGAAAAAAATTTATTTAAGCTTTCCGTGACTTCTATCCATATTTTTTATGTGCGGATCTCCAGGAATATGTAATGCAAAAATGGTTTAACTAAATAAAAATATATTATCTCATCTTATCTAAAAAGTACCAATAGTAGTAAATATTACAGTAAGAGAAAAATCGGAAGAAAAAGTATGAAGTTACATTATGAAATATATTTTTTTACTTTTCACACAAAATGAGTCAACCCAACCCAAATTTTGAGTGATTAGGCGTGAAGTGAACATACAGTATTTAGAAATGATTGATTGAAACAATGACCAGAAAATTGAATCTAAAAACTTTATTGAAAATAATTTTCAATAATAGAGGGGGGTATCATAAGACCACATATCCTATATATTGAACATAATCGCAATTTAATAAAAATATGTCACAACAATATATTCGTAGATAATTAAATTATTATTTTTCACTGTATTTGATTGCATCTATTTATCTTGTCATTATACCAAGAACAATTTTAAAAGCGGATAATATTTTCTGGTTGACTGATATTAGTAAAATGTTGTTACATCCTTAGTACTGTTGTTTTTACATATTAATATTTCTTTATTTTTGTTTTTAATATTCATAGTCACAGACATAGTCATTTATTCCATAGAACAATATTACATTGTATTGTAAATTAATTACATGAAATGAAGAATTACGTTTGCATGCAACTAACATAAATAAAACTAAAAATCAAATAAAATTTAAATATCATTTCACAATCATTCTACATTTAATACTTTTCATGTCATAATTGTTTATTTTTCTTTTCATAATAGATTATATAATAAGCAGTACATAAACCAAAAAAATTAACATTCATTAAGTTTATTTTTGTCATTTAGGTAATCGTCAACTGAGTAGTAGCTTTTTATATATTCACTCAATCTGTCAACACAATTATTGCTACTCTTTCTTTTCAGAATGACGTGGTTTATAAAGATTCGTTGTGAATCCGTTGCTATTTCTCTGGAATAAAGTCTGATTTTATATATTAAACTGCATTTGTAATAGTTATTTATTGATATTTGTATGACTAATGAGCGAATTGGGTTTCTTATAGTGATAATACGACGGAACCGCATGTGCTCCCGGCGACTGGTTCTCGTACAAAATAAGGTTGACAGCCATTCTATTGTATATCATAGTATTCTATGCTTTCTATAATAATTATCGCTAATAGAAAATTATAGAAACAAATAGGAATGACAATACGAGACTGTCACGTGACTTATCGTTGATTTCATTAATTTTATTTATCTCGAAAATACATCAAAAGGTTAATTGGTAAAAATAGTAATAGTGTGAGAGCGGATGTTCGACTTACTCTCGTGCTTACAAAATTAGTCATTATCGGCAATAAAAAAGCTTACTGCAATATAAATTAAGTATAGAGTAATAAAAGTTCGACCATACTGTAATGTCCCCGTCACAATTACACAATAGTTTAACGTGAGGGACGTCATTACATGATAACACCAAAATATGCAAACCAGCAGCAATACTACCCATTTCATTGTAAGACAGAGCAGCCTCTCAACAACACGATTTTTTACCTGTACTAGAAGAATTACTACAACGAATGTCATTCTACGAGTCTTACAACTCGTGGCATAACTTCACTCATAGAATGACTTAGGCAGAAACTCTCGCGCACGGAACCTACAGTGAACTGTATACTGCACAAAAGAGTGGGGTTTCTTGATATACGCTCAATTCTACCCCGCCATCATCTATATGACACTGCTAGAGTGATGCACGCACTCTCAATCTCGAACCATACGTTATTTTAATGACGCGTCGGTATATTCATTTTATTTTGTATTTTCCTAAAAACAGTAACTGTCGTAAATGAAAATACAACCGCGTGGCAACCGCGCGACCCGCAGCTATAACACAGTAATTGTTATGAATTGCCTGTAAAGCAGTATACATAAAAGTGTTTGTGCAGGTGCAGCGGCGGCTGTACATGTTCGCGGGGCAACGCAACAAGGAGCAGCTGCTGGACCTGTGGTGGTGGGACGTGGGCAGCGGGCAGTGCGGTGCGCTGTGCGCCGGTGCGGCCTGCGCGCCGCCCGCCGCCGGCTTCACGCAGCGCGCCACGCTCGACCCCGACACCGACGAGATATTCGTGCTCTCCGTGAGTACGCAGCCCCAATACACACTGTACACGCTACATGCTACAAGCTGCATGCACGCCGCCGGCTTCACGCAGCGCGCCACGCTCGACCCCGACACCGACGAGATATTCGTGCTCTCCGTGAGTACGCAGCCCCACTACACACTGTACACGCTACATGCTACATGCCCGCCGCCGGCTTCACGCAGCGCGCCACGCTCGACCCCGACACCGACGAGATATTCGTGCTCTCAGTGAGTACGCAGCCCCATTACACACTGTACACGCTACATGCTACATGCCCGCCGCCGGCTTCACGCAGCGCGCCACGCTCGACCCCGACACCGACGAGATATTCGTGCTCTCCGTGAGTACGCAGCCCCACTACACACTGTACACGCTACATGCTACATGCCCGCCGCCGGCTTCACGCAGCGCGCCACGCTCGACCCCGACACCGACGAGATATTCGTGCTCTCCGTGAGTACGCAGCCCCACTACACACTGTACACGCTACATGCTACATGCCCGCCGCCGGCTACACGCAGCGCGCCACGCTCGACCCCGACACCGACGAGATATTCGTGCTCTCCGTGAGTACGCAGCCCCACTACACACTGTACACGCTACATGCTACGTGCCCGCCGCCGGCTTCACGCAGCGCGCCACGCTCGACCCCGACACCGACGAGATGTTCGTGCTCTCCGTGAGTACGCAGCCCCACTACACACTGTACACGCTACATGCTACATGCCCGCCGCCGGCTTCACGCAGCGCGCCACGCTCGACCCCGACACCGACGAGATATTCGTGCTCTCCGTGAGTACGCAGCCCCACTACACACTGTACACGCTACATGCTACATGCCCGCCGCCGGCTTCACGCAGCGCGCCACACTCGACCCCGACACCGACGAGATATTCGTGCTCTCCGTGAGTACGCAGCCCCACTACACACTGTACACGCTACATGCTACATGCCCGCCGCCGGCTTCACGCAGCGCGCCACGCTCGACCCCGACACCGACGAGATATTCGTGCTCTCCGTGAGTACGCAGCCCCACTACACACTGTACACGCTACATGCTACATGCCCGCCGCCGGCTTCACGCAGCGCGCCACGCTCGACCCCGACACCGACGAGATATTCGTGCTCTCCGTGAGTACGCAGCCCCACTACACACTGTACACGCTACATGCTACATGCCCGCCGCCGGCTTCACGCAGCGCGCCACGCTCGACCCCGACACCGACGAGATATTCGTGCTCTCCGTGAGTACGCAGCCCCACTACACACTGTACACGCTACATGCTACATGCCCGCCGCCGGCTTCACGCAGCGCGCCACGCTCGACCCCGACACCGACGAGATATTCGTGCTCTCCGTGAGTACGCAGCCCCACTACACACTGTACACGCTACATGCTACATGCCCGCCGCCGGCTTCACGCAGCGCGCCACGCTCGACCCCGACACCGACGAGACATTCGTGCTCTCAGTGAGTACGCAGCCCCACTACACACTGTACACGCTACATGCTACATGCCCGCCGCCGGCTTCACGCAGCGCGCCACGCTCGACCCCGACACCGACGAGATATTCGTGCTCTCCGTGAGTACGCAGCCCCACTACACACTGTACACGCTACATGCTACATGCCCGCCGCCGGCTTCACGCAGCGCGCCACGCTCGACCCCGACACCGACGAGATATTCGTGCTCTCCGTGAGTACGCAGCCCCACTACACACTGTACACGCTACATGCTACCTACATGCCCGCCGCCGGCTTCACGCAGCGCGCCACGCTCGACCCCGACACCGACGAGATATTCGTGCTCTCCGTGAGTACGCAGCCCCACTACACACTGTACACGCTACATGCTACATGCCCGCCGCCGGCTTCACGCAGCGCGCCACGCTCGACCCCGACACCGACGAGATATTCGTGCTCTCAGTGAGTACGCAGCCCCACTACACACTGTACATGCTACATGCCCGCCGCCGGCTTCACGCAGCGCGCCACGCTCGACCCCGACACCGACGAAATATTCGTGCTCTCCGTGAGTACGCAGCCCCACTACACACTGTACACGCTACATGCTACATGCCCGCCGCCGGCTTCACGCAGCGCGCCACGCTCGACCCCGACACCGACGAGATATTCGTGCTCTCCGTGAGTACGCAGCCCCACTACACACTGTACACGCTACATGCTACATGCCCGCCGCCGGCTTCACGCAGCGCGCCACGCTCGACCCCGACACCGACGAGATATTCGTGCTCTCCATGAGTACGCAGCCCCACTACACACTGTACACGCTACATGCTACATGCCCGCCGCCGGCTTCACGCAGCGCGCCACGCTCGACCCCGACACCGACGAGATATTCGTGCTCTCCGTGAGTACGCAGCCCCACTACACACTGTACACGCTACATGCTACATGCCCGCCGCCGGCTTCACGCAGCGCGCCACGCTCGACCCCGACACCGACGAGATATTCGTGCTCTCCGTGAGTACGCAGCCCCACTACACACTGTACACCTGCTACATGCCCGCCGCCGGCTTCACGCAGCGCGCCACGCTCGACCCCGACACCGACGAGATATTCGTGCTCTCCGTGAGTACGCAGCCCCACTACACACTGTACACGCTACATGCTACATGCCCGCCGCCAGCTTCACGCAGCGCGCCACGCTCGACCCCGACACCAACGAGATATTCGTGCTCTCCGTGAGTACGCAGCCCCACTACACACTGTACACGCTACATGCTACATGCCCGCCGCCGGCTTCACGCAGCGCGCCACGCTCGACCCCGACACCGACGAGATATTCGTGCTCTCCGTGAGTACGCAGCCCCACTACACACTGTACACGCTACATGCTACATGCCCGCCGCCGGCTTCACGCAACGCGCCACGCTCGACCCCGACACCGACGAGATATTCGTGCTCTCCGTGAGTACGCAGCCCCACTACACACTGTACACGCTACATGCTACATGCCCGCCGCCGGCTTCACGCAGCGCGCCACGCTCGACCCCGACACCGACGAGATATTCGTGCTCTCCGTGAGTACGCAGCCCCACTACACACTGTACACGCTACATGCTACATGCCCGCCGCCGGCTTCACGCAGCGCGCCACGCTCGACCCCGACACCGACGAGATATTCGTGCTCTCCGTGAGTACACAGCCCCACTACACACTGTATATTTTATGTTATATTAGTGCAGTGTTAATAATAAAAAGTCTAAAAAAGTTGTAGGTTCTTTAAAATATTAAATACTATGGTACATTCTTCGGAACTACTAAAAGAATATTTTTACTAGTTCCGGAGAAAACAGTTCACGAATAAACAGACTGCGGTGGTTTATATGTAGCTATTGATTCTTAATTGTATTATTTATCATGATACCGGTTAGATTTTCATAAAATCTTTAGCCAGTTTACTATAATAAATTGGTATCTTTTTTATGAGTTAAGTTACGTTAAAATATCTAGTTGGTCCAAAAACGATTGTCTCCTTTAAAAAGCCTAACAAAAGCCAGACGGGCCGAACACCGTTTAATTTGGCCGGAAACGCAACCAAAAAGTCTGACTGTGTCCGGCTTTATCCGGACGCCTGGCAACGCTAGCCACGCCCTTAGACGCCCACTACGATAACATCGAAACGAGACCGAATACGCGACCGATAACGCGGGAAATAAATTAATTCAGGTTAGTCCTCCACGAGCGCTCGCGCTCTATTGAACGCAGAGATAAGATAAGATAAGATGCTTTATTTGTCAGAATATGGTACATTACTGTTGTTACAAAAGAATTTTGATCCTAAATATTCTGCCGTTTCCGGCGTACAAATATTTTCAGATAGACAATTTTTCGAATAAACTAGAAAACTAAGACACTAATTATTATATAGTATAAAGATACTTGCCGCAATATTTATGGAAACCAAATCTATATAAAACAATCATCAATCAATTCATAATACTTTAGTTAAAACATTTCAAAAAATTTAAATTCAGCAATTCAATAAATACAATTTGAGTCAAATTTATCATTTAAGAAGTCATTTACTGAGTAATAACACTTATTTAAAAGAAATTGAAACAATTTACTTTTAAAGATTCATCTTTTTGAAACAAACAGGCAATTTGTTGTAAACATGTATTGCCATACAATATACATTTTTTGAGTAGAGTTGTATTCTTTGCTTTGGTACACACAATTTATGTATATTTCTACTAGTCCTAATTACAACATCATTGTGTTTTTCAAATAAATTACTATTTTTGTGAACAAAGATACAGATTTCGTAAACGTATAATGCTGGAAGCGGCAATATTTTATGTTTGCGAAAAAGGGGAATACAACTATCTAATTGGTGTACTCCGCATAAAGACCGTACACATTTTTTCTGTCCACGAAAAGCTCTAATTAAATCAACAGAATTACCCCATATTATTAAGCCGTAACGTAGGATCGAAGAAACATATCCATGATAGGCAGAGAGTGCGGCCTCCATGTTAGCCAATCGTCTTAACCGATATAAAATAAAGACAAATTTATCTAACTTTTTACATAGGCTATCAATTACAGAACACAGTGTCTACAGTCTACACGGTACAGTCAGTGTCAACAGTGTCTTCCAATTACAGAACTTGTCTATTGTTACACCTAAAAAGTTAGTATGGTTAACTTCTTCGATTATGTTTTTCCCATATTCAATTTTAAGTGGTTCTTGTTTACTATTATATGTCTGAAATCTTATCATCTTAGTTTTTTCGATGTTAATTTGTAAATTATTGTGTCTTAACCAATCTATTATTGTTTCTAAGGTCCTATTTATTTCATGTTCGTAGTCAAAATATTTATTATTATTTTCAATATTAATGGTAATGTCATCAGCATATAGCACACATTTATGAGTAGTTACGTTACGAAGATCGTTGATATAGATTATAAATAATAAAGGTCCCAGTATACTTCCTTGTGGCACTCCGCATTTATTTTCGCAATACTGTGATCTATAATTTTTTCTATTGGGTCCTGAGTAACTTGATACCTCAACACATTGTCATCGCTGACTTAAATAATCTTGTATTAATTTTAATGCATTGCTTCTTACACCATACCTGCTAAGTTTGTGTAACAATAATTCGTGGTCAACGAAGTCAAATGCCTTGGACATATCAATGAAAATGGATGTTATAGGTATTTTGTTGTTTAGGCTAGTGCAGTGAGGGCTGGCGCAGTAAAATATATGGTACTTTTATTTAGTTAATTAATAATAATAGTAACAATTTAAAAAGTAAAAATCATGCTAGAGTTTAAGCAAATGTTGATGATTATTTTGGTATAAATTTTACGTCAAAATGAACTTGAACGGATGTAGAACTTCGGAGATATTGGGATTTGTATCGAAGCTTTTTCGGTAGATAATTGAATTATGTCGATTTTATTCCCTTACATGAAAGGCATATCACGAAAATGTATTTAATAATTATTAAAATATTGATACACGAATAGATATTTGTGACTTAAAAATATTTTTTCGATGGTCGATATTTAATAGAATCTACAAATTAGAGATTCCAAATCATGTCTCTCAGAGTTTTGACCTAAACATGCATATTGAGAATGATTATTATTAAATAAATAAATAAGTTATCTAAAATTTGCCTTGAGCTTATTGTAGTAGAGAAAACGAACTATTTTTACCAAGTAATTGTTACTTCAAACCACGAACGGAAAACATATAATTTCAACAAGGAAAGCTTGTAATTTTGCGTTTTTTTGTAATACTCCTCTAATTCAAAGTACATGGAAACAGATGCTAAACATTGTACTGAAGTTAGTTTTACTTTTATCTACAGGGCATGAGTAAAGAAAAGGATAAACGCGTGTACAACTCACTGTGGGTGTTATCATTGAAACGATTGACTTGGACCTGCATATATCGGAACGACAGCGTGTCCCCGTCGGAACCTCGGCCGAGGTTCGCGCATCAGCTTGTATACGATCCGGTTAGAAAGGTAAGCTTATTGTATTCTAACTGCTGCTTATAATACGGATATCATATTTTATGTGGTGTTACAATTTATAAATGAATTTTAATAGACCTGCATGGTGGTGATTAGTTATTTTCATTTATTTATTCCTTGATATTAAAACACCTCTTTGTACAATTACAAATATAGTCAAGTAATACATTTATTTAAATCTGGTAGTGCTTTTGACTACTCCAAGCTTAAGACTTACTTATATATTGCCAACACATGGTAAAATTTTTGAAGAAATAGTCGCAATCAATTTTTTTTTTCTAATTTGAGGAATTTGCTTCATAAAAATCAATATAGTTTCACAAGTAGTCTCTCTGGAATTGTTAGTGGTGTTGAGGTGATTAAACTTATCCTTAACGCATGGGAAAGCTCACAGAATGCTTAGGGATATATTTAGTGACTTATGCAAAAACTTCTATTGTATTCACCATGAGACATCAATCTGGAAACTACAACACTGTGGTTTAAGGAGAGATGCTCTTAAATTTCTTATTTCATATGTAAATAACAGAACTCATGAAGTTGTCATTAACGGTAGGAGTACTGCTGATGCCTCAGGGCTCAATTCTCGGTCTATTTCGGTTCCTTGTCTATATTGATGACTTATCTTACACATAGAGGATAACCATGATATAATGGTATTGTTTGCTGATGATGCTTCAATAATATTGACACTAAAACGACTAGACATGTGTCAATCATGCATGATTCGTTCGTTTGAGCTCTTAAAAAATTGATGGTTCATTCATTTGTTTTTAAATGTACCGGTACAAACAATCACAATCAATTGACGGAACCTTTTCAACTGGCGATCGGTGTGAATTGTGAATGAGCCGGAAACCGACCGAATCCTGAATGATCTGAATAAACAGGCGAATCGAATAAACAATGCAGAGTACCTATCAGGATTATTTATTATTTAGGGGCTTAATACCTAAATTAAAAATTATTTTACATTTTATTATATTTATTTGTTACATCTATGAGTTTAAATATATCGTAGGGTTTATTAAAAATAACACTTCAAAAGATTTCATGGCTAATGATTTATTTAATATGATAATTTTCAAACACCTTTTTATATAAGTATAAGATAGGTAAAAGTTTAATTTCGTAGCAAATAAATGTTACAGTCCTTAGTTTTAGACATATAAAGTTGTGTATTGTTAGGAATGAAATTTAAGAATAAACAAATTTTGTTCGCGACGGCCTAACAACACTAAGAAGCAAAGCGATGAAAGAATATTGTTTTTGTATTAATAGTGAAATTACCGACAAAACTGGGTGAAAACGTGTATTGATATAGTTGTGTAGCATGTTTATAACTCTTAGTATATTTGTATAGAATGTCGTTTTGATAACAATTGATGTAAACAACTTTTATTGTATTAAGAAAAATCGACCAATCGCAGTGCGTCGTATCATAGAACTCTCTAGAAGTTTTTAATTATCTGCGTAATAGTTCATACTGAAAATAATGAAAATAATTTTATGTTCTAAAAGAGTTGTAAATATGACATTAAATTAGCATATGGCTTATAGATTAAGGAAGTATAGGAATATTTTTTATAATTAAACGGATTTGGTAGTTATAGAAAAATGAAAGAATTAATGTACCCAAATATTATGAAAATTTGGGACATTTTGTTTAATAACTTTTTACAATGTTAATGTTTTGAGTAACCTTTATGATATACTAAACTAAAGTAAAGTAAAAATACCAGACTACCGATTTGATGATGTATAGCATGTTAGTGTAGCAATTAGTTTTGTATAGAAAATATTGTAATTTATGCCATTTGCATAGTGAAAAGTTTATGCAATGAAGACGCAAAACGGAAAATGGCAAGCGGCTCACTGTAAGGTATAGCCAAAGTCTACCTTAGGGGCTCGGGACCCAGTAGGGTTGTAGTGTGAAGAACTACCAGTGACAAGCAGTAGTATCCGGTAGTAGCTGAAGTGACTAGTAGCAATATATAGTGAATAGTGAAAGTGTTAGCTAGCCGAAAAAGGTCGTAACTGATATTCGCAGTTACATATAGTGAAAGTGGTAACTGATATCCGCAGTTACACAAGTGATAAAATCAGCTAGTTTAGTTGATAATAGCTGCTAGTCAGTAGTGTTAGAAAACAAGCTACTACCAATAGATATTTGATACCACCGTACAATTTAAAGAAATCTTTTGAAATATACAGTGACCATCCAATAGTGAACAACCGTGGTCAATAAACAATAGTTATAAAAGTTCGCAACTAATAAATCAGTCGAACCGCTGGCCACTACCTTGCTATTTGTATTTATAAATCGTGCATTTTAATTTGAACCTCAGTCCACAATATCTCAGCGGCACCCACAAAGACGGCAGTGAGAGTACCCACCGGAACCTATAGGTGTAGGACGTGAGCGATTCGCGAAGTATCTTCGACAACATTTACTCCGAAGAGTTTCGCCCGTCCGGCACAAAATAGCTCATAATCATACATGTCTTCATAATATCCAAAGTTAAACCCAAAATAACAACTGTGAATGTCCCCAGATTGAAGTGGTAGAATAATGTAAGTATTTAGGTTTAATAATCGATGACCGTATGAAATGAACTTATCACATTGAATCTGTATGTGATAAGCTACGAGCAATATCTTAGCAAAATTTTACCTCATCAAGAGTAAAGTACTTTACCACATGCTAATGTTACTATATAAAGCACTCGGTGAATCAATAGTTTCGTATGGGTTAAGCAGTTATGGACGCACGTATAAAACCACCTTGAAAAAAATATATGAGCTACAATTGCGCATTCTTAAATGTATCACCCCTCTTAGAATCAATGATAAATTAAAAAAAATCCTTATGGTCTTTTTCATCATTGCAATATACTACCAGTACACTATAAAGTGAAATACCAACTACTGCTTGAAAATTATAGCAGGGAAGAATTAAAAACTAGCCGTATCTATACAAAGCTTACACGACAAGCCCTTAGTCCATATATGACTATACCAAAATATAAAAATATGTATTTAAAATTTAGGTTACAATATCAAGTTCCCGCTCTTTTGAACTAACTATAAAAATATTAAATATAAGCTTAAACAGTATTCTATAGACAAATTGATAACGACACTTACTAATAATTTATACTAAAAAAAAACTATCTACTAACACACATAATATACATAAATACAAATCTACTAACATATATATACATAGATACACACAATCGTAACATTATTATCTCAATTACTAATATTATTTATCATACTCACTAACTATCCTTTGCTGTGGTACACATATAGTTAAAAAAAATGCTATTTTGTCATACCATGTACGTTTGTTTTACCTAAATTGGATGAGAATGCAGTTATTGTTTTAGACTATAACAAATAACTGCATTCTCATCATCATTGCGAGATGACTGCCTCGTGTGTCTAGTGGTTGTAGTAGTGCGACTGCTGAGGACATGAGGTCCTGGGTTCGAATCCCGGGCCGGGACAAAAAATTATTTATTGAGTTTTTCCGTCAAGAAATTATCAGTTGTTGCCCGGAGTCAGGAAGTTGGCGATGTATCGCCTCCGTGCCTCGCAAAGCACGTAAAGCCGTTGGTCCTGCGCCTGATCTCTCTCCGGTCGTGTCGGTTTACCGTCCCATCGGATTATGAGTGTGAGGGAATAAAGAGTGCACCTGTGCTTGCGCATACACTTGGGCACTATAATCCTGTCCTGCGCCGATGGCTAGCCTCTGTTGAGGCAGGCCGCCGTGTCCGGAATTCGGTCTGGAGGACATTATTATTGTTTTAGATAATGGATCGTATCATTCTCAAAAACTTTTCAAAGCACCTTCAACTTCATCTCGCAAACAAGGCATTATTGAATGGCTACGGTCGAAAATATTTTTTGTGACGGATCAATGTTAAAGTTGCAACTTTTGGATTTAGTTAAGCAAAACAAAGATCGATTTGAAAAAATTTTCGTAAACGAGATGGCTAAGTCCACAAATCGTCGCGTCACACGTTTGCCACCGTATCACTGTGAGCTCAACCCAATTGAACTTGTATGTGCTCAAATGAAGGGTTACGTGGTACCAAATAACAAAAGTTATAAAATTGATAAAGTCCGAACTCTTTTGTTACAAGGAGTCGCTAATGTGATAACCAAGATCGAAACAAAAATGTACGAAGTCGACAATAATGTAGAAAATATGTTAGAGCAGTTTATTGATTGATTCACGTGTCTGCAGAAAGTTCATCAGAAGGAAGTGATGACGATAGTTTTTGAGATTACAATCATTAAGTATATAATAATTATTTTATTTATAAGTTCTTGTGCATAATATATTTATACTATAACCAATATTGTTTCTTTATTTATTTTTAAAATTATTTATATATATAAAATGAATTAATTTTCTCTACAGTAAATTTTAGAAGTATTCAATATGAACGGGCCTTTAAAATATCAAAAAAAGAACAAAATCGTTGGCCCCACCCCTAACAATGACCCATCTCACTATGTTAATATCGGAAATGTGCGAGAGAGACATACTCAGTACTCGTTTGTTAAAAAAACAGACTATAGTAGTGTTCATTACTCGACTTTAAAGAATCAGTAGTTTATTTTTGAAATAATGTATTCATTTTTATAACAATATCTAAATAACATATTTATATGAAATTATATTGGAAAAGGAAATAGGAAAAAAATAGGAAATATAAAAAATTTGCCGCATTTTTGTACAATAATTGTAGGAAAAAGGTTAATATTGTTACGACAGACGGTTGTGTATCGAGTCACATTGCACGAGAATGTTCTCGACGATAAGGGTCAGTGACCTTTTCAAGTAATAAAAGTGTAGACATAAAGTAAATAAGGTTCCGACTATTAATGCAAGCAAAAAGCAACCTTATGTACAGGTAAATAAAGCCTTTTCTCCTTTGGATATTGTTGTCGTTATGTTATGCGAGTGTTCCGGTACTTTCCGGAAGAGTGGAATGACCTGGATTGACCTAGAGAGTTCTATATTCATTTTATCGAGCATAAAAGCGTGTGCCGGGGAACGGAAAGTTAATTATTTCAGGAACGCGAAAGTGAACTCCACTTCGGAAATTTGACTTACGTATGACATCTGCGATTGTTAATGATCTTATAGAAGACGCTTAGCGATTATGGACTACTTAATTTATATACTTGATGTGTGTGTGAAAAAATACATCACTTTTAATCCTAATCGGGATTTTTACTCACCTCGCACGTAACAATATTAAGGAATTTTTGGATGGCTTTCAATCGCTGAATCATGCATCACACATCACATCAACATGCAAAACAAAAACATTCTTTCAATAATTATTTATAATCTTAACCTATATTGAATAAAAAATCTATCTCCTTTTCTGGTACTGTCATCGTGCCTGCTAATCGTGATGGTTTTGTTAATTTCCTACAATGGCGAAGGTCAATGTCCAGAAGTAAATTATGAGTTGGAGTTGGGGCTTAGTATAATGGGAGGCTCTGATAACTCTTTTTATATGTAGGTTCATTATTTGTTCGGCGGCAACCCGGGCACGGCGAATAGCCCGCGGTTGCGGCTGGACGACCTGTGGGCGCTGCGGCTGCAGCGAGCGGAGCGCGGCGACGTGTGGCGCTCCGCACGCGCCGCGTTGCGCGAGGCGTGCTACCGCGAGCTGGCCGCCACGCCCGCTGCCCAGCCGCGCGCGCTACACTACCTGCGCCACGAGCTCAGCGCAGCGCTCGACCACTGCGACCCGCTGCAGGTAGCTCGCCCGCCACATTGACTGCGCCACGAGCTCAGCGCAGCGCTCGACCACTGCGACCCGCTGCAGGTAGCCCGCCCACCGCACTGCCTGCGCCACGAGCTCAGTGCCGCGCTCGACCACTGCGACCCGCTGCAGGTAGCCCGTCCGCCGCACTGCCTGCGCCACGAGCTCAGTGCCGCGCTCGACCACTGCGACCCGCTGCAGGTAGCCCGCCCGCCGCACTGCCTGCGCCACGAGCTCAGTGCCGCGCTCGACCACTGCGACCCGCTGCAGGTAGCCCGCCCGCCGCACTGCCTGCGCCACGAGCTCAGTGCCGCGCTCGACCACTGCGCCCCGCTGCAGGTAGCCCGCCCGCCGCACTGTCTGGGCCACGAGCTCAGTGCCGCGCTCGACCACTGCGACCCGCTGCAGGTAGCCCGCCCGCCGCACTGTCTGCGCCACGAGCTCAGTGCCGCGCTCGACCACTGCGACCCGCTGCAGGTAGCCCGCCCGCCGCACTGCCTGCGCCACGAGCTCAGTGCCGCACTCGCCCACTGCGACCCGCTGCAGGTAGCCCGCCCGCCGCACTGCCTGCGCCACGAGCTCAGTGCCGCGCTCGACCACTGCGACCCGCTGCAGGTAGCCCGCCCGCCGCACTGTCTGGGCCACGAGCTCAGTGCCGCGCTCGACCACTGCGACCCGCTGCAGGTAGCCCGCCCGCCGCACTGTCTGCGCCACGAGCTCAGTGCCGCGCTCGACCACTGCGACCCGCTGCAGGTAGCCCGCCCGCCGCACTGCCTGCGCCACGAGCTCAGTGCCGCGCTCGACCACTGCGACCCGCTGCAGGTAGCCCGCCCGCCGCACTGCCTGCGCCACGAGCTCAGTGCCGCGCTCGACCACTGCGACCCGCTGCAGGTAGCCCGCCCGCCGCACTGTCTGGGCCACGAGCTCAGTGCCGCGCTCGACCACTGCGACCCGCTGCAGGTAGCCCGCCCGCCGCACTGTCTGCGCCACGAGCTCAGTGCCGCGCTCGACCACTGCGACCCGCTGCAGGTAGCCCGCCCGCCGCACTGCCTGCGCCACGAGCTCAGTGCCGCGCTCGACCACTGCGACCCGCTGCAGGTAGCCCGCCCGCCGCACTGCCTGCGCCACGAGCTCAGTGCCGCGCTCGACCACTGCGACCCGCTGCAGGTAGCCCGCCCGCCGCACTGTCTGCGCCACGAGCTCAGTGCCGCGCTCGACCACTGCGACCCGCTGCTGGTATAGCTCGCCCGCCGCACTGCCTGCGCCAAGAGCTCAGTGCCGCGCACGGTGTAATGCCGACGTAAAGGAAGCTATTACTGTTGGTGTCTTAAAAAACTACAGAATTTACCTAGAAGATTAGATAATAATAATAATCTTAATAATAATATTCTTTATTGATAAACATATTACATGCACAAAATTTACTGTGGTCATTAGCCCCTAAACTAGGATATAATACCTGTATTTCAGGGGCTAGTTTTCTTCCCTATTCTTAGTTCTATTACTATAATTTGTTTATCTATGTATTATATTTATAATGTTTATTTATTATATAATATCAACAAGTATTATTTAAAACGTAAAATTTATAAATTAAATTAATTAAAATATATAAGACATATTGTCATATCTTTCATGAGATAGGTCTATATTTGGCAGTGAGCTGTATATAAGTTATATTTTAAATGTAAATATATTTTTCATTGTTTATCCTTAACAAACAAAACTGCCAGGGTCGGATAAAATCTTAAGAAAAGAGAATATTGGATCGATGTTTTCTTGTAAACAAAATCAGTTTGAGTTCGTTATTTAAATTAATTAAGAAACCTTCCGTTCTGCCCAATTCAGTTTTATTCTAAGCTGTCATCAAGATGGCGGCAAGATGTTTTATTTTGTGCAACCATATTTTTTGCTTTTCAAACACTTTCAACCGTCCGCGGATTGGTAGGCAAGCAACCAGAACGTAGAATAAAGTAACTCTGCGCAAGATAACGTTATACACTGAACAGTAGCACCGTTTTCGCATGCTCACACAATATGTTAGTACTTTATTATAGTAATGCTTTAAGTGTTTACTAGATCGCGTTTCGCTTCGATGTAGTTTAACGATGCGTGCGTTCCAGGTGGCGCAGTTCCAGAAGCTGGCGACAGCGCTGTTCTCGGGGCCGCCGAGTGAAACGAGCAGCGAATGCGCGCTGAGTCCGAGCCGCGTGCGCACGCTGGCGCGGAGACGTGCGCGCCTGCCGCCGCACACCGACCTCGCGCACGCGCTCGCTGCGGTACGTGTGTTAGCCTTACCGTGGTATATAGTTCCCGGCACGAGTCGTGAGCACAGATGAACTGCGTTGGGGGTTGAGCTAGCATAGGTACACTGTCGGTCAAAATTATTGGGTTCCTTTGTTATTTCAATTGGTAATTGAATATTTTCGACGACTTGAAAATGTTTACCTGAATACATAAACTTTACTTAGATAAAGTAATCTTGCAGATATTCGTGACCATTATTTTATTATTTACTATTATATACTTATTATGTACTATATTTTATTTTGTACTATATAGTATTTAATGTATACCCACGTCTGTAAAACTCAATCGAACAATTTACATGTGGTTAGTATTGTATATTTTAATAAGACGAAGTAAGAGGTGATATACCTTCCATAAAATCTAAAGTTGCGGTGCTAGTAGAGGCCCCTTCATCTTCCAGTTCATCATCATCACCATAATTTGTGTCTGGGAAAATAGTGTCCCAGAAATATGGACACCATCAGTGAGGCGCTGCGATCACACATAAGTGCAGCCAATAAAAGTCATTTTCAGTCTATTTTTCCGATCAGATGCTAAACCACTTGCGCATCCACGCGCAATAAAATATTTCTCCATTTTTTAATGTTTCTTTTTGTCAAGAATTACAAAATTACGGAGCATGAAAATTTTCTACGAAAAAGTGAAATGAAAATTTGTACAATATTCAACTAACTTAATCTACTTGTACTCATAAACAGCTAACTTCGCAGTCACTACTCAGCGACGTCAGCGCCGCTATATATTCTACAATTTTCAAGGATCAAGGACAGGCGGGCTATGCGTACGTAGTGATCGTTCTCCTGTTCTCTAACCTTTATGACTTAGACTCTTTCTGTTTACATTGTGGACTTTGAATTCAAACTCGAGATTGTCTGAATACTGGCCTTAGTCTTGTACAAATTTCATGGTGGCCACAGAAATAAACACCGCAGTGATAATTCTGAACTGTACAAAACCATGAAGTTATAACGATGGCTCCTAAGTATAGTGAGTCATCTAACATTTTTAGGTATTTTCAGGTTTTGATGGTATTGATTGTAAAAATATATTATCTATCAGACTATATCGAAAAAATCTAAAATGCGTAAATATTCTTGGAAATAATCTAACGTATACTGGTTTATGTTGTGGAATTTAAAATTGCCATACGGCGTATTCTAAGCTAACTACTCGAATTCAGTAAACACGGGACGCGGGCGGGGTACTTTAAGCGACATGTGCACACTGGACTGGAATTTAGGTGTGTGTATTACGGTCATTATGTTAGATTTAAGTTAAAATTGTTGGTATAATGATTTCTTATATTTAAGCGAACACTACACATGATTAAAACTACTTTTACGGATTTTATCGCGTTTATTTTTACTTTTAATCACTTTTATTTTTAATTCCCGACGTTTCGGGCGCTTTCCAGCACCCATGGTCACTGGGGACTGAGATAACTGACTGACGATAAATTTAAATAAGCATGGAAAGAAAACAACAAAATGCTAGATACTCAAATCATCAAGACAAAATAACGAACACGAAATTTTTGAAAATAACGAGTTAATGGAATATCTCATAAAAATTAAGTTTTTCATTACATTAGCTTATTTAAATTATAACTGTGACAGTAAATAATCACATTATTTTTCGATTATAAACTATTAGAAGTTCTGTACATTATAAGCGCTTAACTGCAGTGATCTTATAGGTAAAAGAGGACTCTTTTACCTATAAGATCATTGCTTAACTGTTTCTGAAAATTACAAGCGGCTATACACTATTAAATATTATTTACCATGGTTGAAATTAAATGAAAATGCAGAGATAAAAAGAATATCTGTTTGTAAAACAATGTTCCTTAGAACCCTCTCGATAAGTTTTAACTTTGTTTATACTGCTCCAGAAAAATTTGACTGAAAAAACCCTGATTTTTCTACTTAGATATTGCTTTTCCTGAAGATATTTTATTTTATTGAATTTTATTAAAATAAATACTTCCAAAAATTAATTAATTATCTGATTAGGAAGGGAAATAGGGCCTTTAATTTTAACGCATACAAATATAATTTTGTTTTCTACCTTTATTCAAGACAGAAATTTAAATTTATTTGTTTTATGGAAAATATAAAAAAGTTTAACTACTCGATTGTTAATTGAATATGTTTCAAAAAATAATTAAAAATAAAAAACATGATTATTTTCCTTTGTATCAAAAATTAACAAGCTAAAAGCTTGCTTAATTTGCAGATATATCAATTTACTGCTACTTCATCGAATCGATTTCGGACATAAAAATCGGTGTATAATGAGTCAACTAATTTATTATCCTTGAAACTGTAGATACAACGTCGGTTTACTAGTCCAAGAAAATAAATTACAGTACTGTATTTATGTATTTATAAACCTAATACTTTTTGCTAAAGATATGGTGAATATTCAAATACATTGTAAACGAGTGTATGTGACAGTTAGCTCATTATAGGCCATGATTTATATGATGTACACTAAGCCAACTACATTATCCTGGAAACTCACTAAAACAGGTCTACTATTTTATTGTATACGTGTCTCAAATCTTAAAATAACACAAACTTAAAAAAATCAACATTCTAGTACAAAAACAGAAAAATTTATAAACAATTAATCTTTGACTGGCGCTCCTCTAAAATTTGAATTTTGTAGTTGACTCACTATACTTAGGAGCCATCGATAATACATCAATAGAACCATAATATTACGTTTTTGGCGTTACATTTGTTGCTTTAACATAAGTCGAGTCATCTATGGACAGGTGCTGGGCGCAGACGACACGGCATTAGAACCGACGCAGCCGTTCGAGGAGGCGGTGGAGCCCATACCGGAGACGTGGGACGTGGGCGAGGAGGGCGACGAGTGCGTGTGGGGCGCGGGGTGTGCGGGAGGCGCGGGCGGGTGGGACGCGCGCGCGGGCCGCGTGCGGCTGTACGAGAGGCTGTGCGCGTACTTCCGACCCAGCCGTGTGCCGCCGCGCGCGCACGTCACCGACCTCGTCGTGCTCTAACGCTGCCCTACACCTTGGTATTACCACATTAATTTTTCTTTTTTTTAGCATAAGACCGCTTTTAATTATGTAGGTAAATATTTTTTTTATAATTTCCAGATACCCGCTTTAATGTATTTGTTGGTTTCACAGCATATGGCGCGATTGTTATAATTCTTTTTTTTTAATATTTTTAATTGACGATGTTGTAGGGGGTATTTTGTGAATTGTGACCCTCTACATATACTTGATATGTAGTATATTAATGTAGGTTGTATCTTCTACGTTACGGGATGTGGTAATTAAAACTGTGTCCGTTTCCGTAGAGAGCGTTTGTTGTACTGAAAATACTTATGAATAAAAAATGTAATTATAGTGAACGTGTCGCGCGCGCAGGCGCGATATCAGCATTATTTTCTAAACTGTTGAAATATCATGTACTTGCTCGTACATCTTGCCAATTTTATAAACAAGAAGAAAGTTTAAGGCGATGAACCCCTATTGAGTTTACGGGCAGCCGTTGCGATCACCGCATCCACACTATCGATGTCCGAGACCCCATGCTCCGATGAATGTCCTTGGGTTGGCTGCTCGACATTGTTGGGGTCTGGCTTGTCGCGAAGATTCACGCTGCAGCCTTGACATCTTCTTTTCAGCCGGAATGTCCCCCATGCAATGAAGGCTACAATAATAAATCCGACTACGGTGTACAACACATAGTTGTGTGTGTCATGTGTGAGTGATTGTACACTCAGTGCTTGTTGCTGTTCCTTGACCTTATCAATGTTGTTTTTCAGCTCTTGTAAGGCGTCTTTATGATCTTCAGGTCCAAATGTATGATTAAAGTCTGTCAGTATGTGGTTCAGGCTTGATTCACGCATGTACATTCTTTCTTCACTGCCTGTTAGTTTCAACTCGCTGTGATAGTCGTTGTGAGCATGAATGATGAAGCTTTCTCCCTTGAGCATACACCCAAGTCCGAGTAACATAATCCCCGTGCCGTGTAAGTGCTGTGACGTCACTCCAGCTGGGCAGAAAATGCGCATCGTGCAGTCTTCGCAACAGGAGAACAGCCACGCGCCACGATTGTGTAATCGCACCCACCTGTCGTTGCAATCCAATACTCTTGTGCGGCATGTTGATGAGTCGCCATTGTTTAATATTTGCGCTTCACATAATGTATCGGCTACCTTAATGTTGTAAATAGGTTGATTGATAGCACATAACATTTTGTTTTCTTGCAGATTTAAGCATGATGATACATCTCGGTTTTCTAAGGGTATTATCATGTCCCCTTTTAGGTTTACAGCAAGGTATTCAGATGTGAGTACTATAGTTTTCTCTGTGTGTCCAGTTATTTGCGGAATAGGAATGATGTGGTTAAGTTCATATTGTTCGTTGTTTATTAGCGGTAGCTTCACTTCGAATATTATGTATGCACTTGTTAAGCGCACGTGCACTCGCGCCAGCTTGTATAGGCTTCGCGTGCAATGGCGTGTGTTCACACAGGGTAGCGATAACTCGCTTGGTAAATGACCGGAGATGATGTTGAGCTGATCTTCAAATTGGTTGGGCTTGATGAGATGGGTGTCAACTCTCCCGTCCTTCACGTCAGTTACTAGGTCTAGGAGTTGCTGTTGTATTTGTCGTATGTTTGAAATGATCAAGTTCACGGCCAGAGCGGTAGCTGTTATGTACATAGCATTGTCATGGCTGATTTGTATGCGTTTTTCCGTTTCAGCGAGATGATTGTCGATGATACGAAATTGTGTGTTCATTACTTCCTCGTTTCTTTTTAGAAGATTATATTCACTTTCGATGATCGATGTGTGATTTTTGTAGAGATTCAATAGATGATTTTCGTTTGACTGGATTATGTTGATATCCTTCACGTACTGATTGGCAAATCTCTCATCCAGAGTACCAAAAAGGGAGTTTGCTAGGTATCCTATTCCATTCACTAGTCCTCTTTTTCTTCGAGACGGTCCATGTTCTGATCGTAAGATATCGTTATAGTGTTGAATTTCGTTAAGTTCGTGTTGAAACTGGGATGAAATTGTAAGATAGGCTGCTTCCTTCTTGCATAATGTGTTCAAATGGTTGACATAGTTTTGTATGTTGTCCAAACTCCGCCAATATGTCGTCATGTTGTAGTATACAACCATTTTCCACTTATCTTGAATAATCTGCACATCAGACACCTTGTCAAAATAAACGACTCTTGAACTGCTAAGCCTTGTTATGTTGATCATTTGTTGCGTAGTAGGTCCAACACACATCGAAAATATAAGTAGTAACGTACAAAAAAAGGTTGTTGAAGTGTTTTTTGCCGTTGTTGTTTCTTCGTTTTCTTTGTGTATTTATTGCAGGCTTCGTAGTGTCAACGTCAGAAGATGCAGTTGTATAAGATGACGGATCCAACGGAAGGCGTGACAATTTTGTAATCGGTCGCTTCATATTACTTGTTTTAGTTTTCAGTGTGACGACTCGTACCCGGCCGTCCGCACCTGGGTGAGTCTCCAACACCCGTCCCAGGATCCATTTGGCAGGAGGAATGTTGTCTTCTCTGACGATAACGACGTCCCCAACTTCTAAGTTTTTAGTAGGGAAGTGCCATTTGCTTCGAGTTTGTAGAGTTTGAAGATAGTCAGTAGACCACCTTCTCCAGAAGTCCTTGTACATTTTCTCCGTAAGTTGCCATCTTGTAGAGAAGGTCATGTCATTACCCTCAGCGGATAGTGGTGATTCTAGAGAAGGCTCGCCGATTAGGAAGTGAGCTGGTGTCAAGCAGTCAAGGTCTTCGATATTCTCTGACAACGCCACCAGGGGGCGAGAGTTGAGACATCCTTCAATCTGCGCCAACAGTGTAGAAAATTCCTCGAACGTAAGTTTTTGATCCCCAAGTACTCGTTTGAGGTGATGTTTCAGGCTTTTTACTGCAGCTTCGTAGAGTCCACCAGCAGTAGGCCAGGAAGGGGCGTTAAAATGCCATTCAATGCCCCACTCTGACATGTTAGTTATGACGTCATTGTTTATGTAGCATTGTAATGCCTCCTTTCGTTGTTTTTCCAATGCTCTTGCTGCGCCCACGAAGTTGGTGCCGTTGTCGCTGTAGATGTGACGGGGCTTTCTTCGGCGGGCACACATTCGTTTCAAGGCGTTCAGAAAAGCCACTGTGCTGAGATCGGAGACAAGTTCGAGGTGAAGAGCTTTTGTGCACAGACACACAAATACAGCTACGTAGGCCTTCATTGTCTTTATTCCTCTGCCCTTGTTAGCCTTTACCTCCACATGCCCAGTGAAATCTACACCGGTGTGTGTGAAAGGCCTTGATGGTGTGACGCGTGGAGGAGGTAAATCACCCATAAGTTGGTTGTTGTTGATAGTTTTGAAGCGATGACACGTGATGCACCGTATAAGTCGTTTTTTCACTGCTCTCAAACCGCTGATAATCCAATATCTGTTGCGTAGATATGATAGAGTTAGTCTGGCCCCACCATGCAGGGTCCTCTTGTGCGCTTGGTCGATCAGTAACTCCGTTAACCTGTCATTGTAAGGTAAGATAATTGGATGTTTTTGTTCTTGACTTAAGTTGGCATTTTCCAGACGTCCTCCTACACGTAAGATTTCGTGTTTGTCCAGGAATGGATTTAAGTTTAAAATGCTGCTTGTTATTCGCACTTTATGATGTTTATTGAGTTGTGCAATGTCGTCGGCGAAATGATTAGTTTGTATAGCCTTGATAATTGCATTATGTGCGTTCTGCAGGTCACTCGTTGCTAAGTACGATGACCGCATGGCATTGTTGACGTCACGTGCATTGTTTATGAACCGAAGTATCCAACTTAGGATTCGAGTTACGCGTGCCATACAGCTGTGTTTGTTTAAAAGTTCTCCGATTAATGGCATCGACCTTTGTGACACGCAAACTTGTTTGACCTTTTTCTCTTCAACAGTTGTGTGGAATTGGTCTTGAAGTGGGAGATCGTTGTCTTTTAGCCAAATAGGTCCCCACCATAAATGATGATTCGCCAGTTGTAGTGGAGTTAGGCCTCTGCTGGCACAATCTGCTGGGTTATATTCAGACTTGACGTGCCTCCAGCATCCCGATGGCATGATGACAGTGATCTGTGTTACGCGATTAGCCACAAATGTAGTCCATCTTGAAGGCCCCCCCTTGTAACCAACCCATCACGATCATAGAATCTGTCCAACCATGTATTGTTACAATCTGTGAGTTTATTGACTCTATGACCTTTTTCATAAGTCGAGACAGTAGTAGGGCACCGCATAGTTCAAGCCGTGGTAAAGACGGGGGTTTTCTTAATGGTGCGAGCTTAGTTTTTCCCGCCACCAGCGTGATAATTTGTTGCCCTTCTTCACTAATAGATTTACAGTAGATAACGCAGCCGTAGGCTTTCTCGGAGGCGTCACTGAATCCGTGTAACTCGAAGGGCTGTTTAGTGTTACCAATCCAGCGTTGTAAAGCGATGCTATTGATAGTGGGCAATTCTTGTTGAAAGGTTGTCCACTCTTGTTGTATGTCTTCCGGAAGAGGTTCATCCCAATTTGTTGAAGCAAGCCAAGCTTGTTGAAATATGAGTTTTGCCTTCATTGTTACCGGAGACAGCCAACCAAGTGGGTCATATAATTTTGATAGATCAGAGAGCAATGTCCGCTTCGTTGTGACGTCACGTGTGTTACTAAGTGGCGCCTTGAATGTAAACTGATCAGTGTGCGGATTCCAGGTTAAGCCGAGTGTTTTGTTACTCTCTGCGTCCTTGAAGTCAAACATATTCTGGCTTATGAGATGTTCAGGTAAAGTTTGAAGCAATCTGGGGTGGTTACTAGCCCATTTGCGAAGATTGAACCCACCGCCTTTTAACAGGTCAATCAATTGGTTTTGAGCGTCTTGTGCTTCTAACATGTCGTTGCTGCCACCAAGTAGGTCATCCACATACAGCTGGTGAGTAAGGATCTCTGCCGCGAGAGGATAGCGGTGTCCATCGTCCATTACGAGT